AGCATGAAAACGTGATATTATCAAGTGGTGTAGAGATATTCAGTAACCGTTTACATATTGTACCGCAGGTTTTACCTGTACAACTTGTTTTAATATTAGCGAAATGCTTAAGAGCGGTAAATGTACAGTTATCACGTTTGGTTTTATCGATCATACTACGATAGCATCCAATGGGAGATTCGTTGATTGTAATATTTATAGTGTCTTCAAATAACAGAGGTAATACCGAAGACAAGATGAAAAAATCGACTGGTATAGTCATTAAGGATGGTCCAAAATCTATTCGAGCCCAAGCAAATACTCTATAGTCTGTGGGTTGAAAGAATGTTTTATTATTGGTATCCATTAATGACAAGTACAAAACATGAATATCATCTTGGCTAGCTTTCGTTTTTAGGTTTCTAACATCATTAACCGATGGTATAGAAATGGTGCAATTGCTGCTACAGCTATGATTTCGACCTTGGGACGAAGAAGTATCCATTAACGCAATGACTATCATAATCATCCATATTGTCGTAGTTGAAGACATTTTTTAGAATCGATGAATAATTCCTATAAGAAACGAAAACAGCATCTAATCTACATTCAATAATATCGATAGCGGCTATGTACGTCCAAGTAATTAAAAATCGATGAAAACTGCTATTGAAAATCCAATTTAGAGGTATGTTACCGTGATTTTACGAGGATGTTGTTGATCCTCTTACCTGCGATGAGTGGTAGTTGATTCAATCAAACTAGTTCTGAAACGGACTAATTTCGATTAGACACAAAGTTTGAGGGAGAACCATTCATGTGTTGTAAATTGCAATGTAACCCGTAGTTAAAACATCAACAACACTCTTTGTTCTGTAGTTTCTTCCCACTCTTTATGGTTCGTACCATTTTATCACGATCTTCAACTTGTCTTTTGTTTGATGTAAATTGTGGAATGTTAACGAAGTTTGTAATAACAGCTTGCCATTATATTCGCATAATTTATAAGACGTTTTAAAAATTGAAACATATGTTCTAAAACTCAAATTCAATACTACTTAGATAACATTTATTCTATCTGTTCTATTTGGATGATAAAGTTCTTACTGTAATACTATTGAAGAAAGGTTGATTAAATTACTACGGTATGTGCTAATTCTGATAAATATTAATTGTCGTGTTCAAACTGGCCATCGATATATACATTGTTTATAGTAATCGGAATGGACTGCCATTGCTTAGTTTTGCTACAAGAATAGCTAGTGGAAAAGATAAATATTGTACACCCGCTGCAAGGGGACAGCATGTGAATTACTAGAAAGAAGAAACTACTAATGCGATGGAGGGTTCGAAGAGTCAGATAATGTGGTTTTAGTTGTCATGCAGAGAATTGCACAAGGAGCATAAGAAAAGAGGATACTTTATTGTAGATAGTAGTTAGGTACAATGTGATAATTACGGTAGATCAGCGTGGTAGCTGCCGTGAGTAAAGTGTGAATACTAACTGTGACTAATAATACAACTTAAGAAATCTAAGGTAGAAAACGGCGGTATTTATAGCTATGGCATTAGAACACATGCAGAGAACATAATTGTAGGATTAGATACAACATATACCATGACAGGTTATAGAAAAGCAGATGATAGTAGAAAATAGCGAGGAATGTAATAACTAAATGTAGTAAGCCATATTTGAATATAGAGCGAACAGACTGTAAATGTGTCTGTATTTAATAGTAATACAAAATGTCTATATTTAAGAGTAGATTACAGTTGCAGTACAAACCAAATACACTACAACTTATATACTTTTTAATTTGACCTTCTTGCTGGTTAAGGTCGTTGTTTATATAAGACAAGAAGTTATCACCACCGCACTTTGTTAGAGCTAATATTAAAGATATATAGCTTAATATTTTTACTGTATTATTAGGCCAGAGTGAACAGTAGGAATTATTGCTGCATTTCATTAGGGTAGTTGAGTATAAAATCACCGTGGAATTGATGTAAAGACTACGGATGCAAATATGTGTAGCTATTGCAAAAAAATTGTATATAACTTGGTAGATGGTATAACTCGGCAAGATGTAGAATAAAATCAGTTCTCTATTTTCTCATCTAATGTTATCTTGTTGCTAAGCTGATTATAAAATAGAGTTGCACCACATAAATTGAAATATTCTTAAGATTGTTATTATTAACTATCTTAGGCATGGATAAATAGTGATGAAAACAAGATGATACCTTCAATAGATGCTCAAAACCAGCCTATAAACTTGATTAGAATCTCCGATAAAATAACTAAAACATAATCGATATTGCTGCCTTAATATTAGAGATACACAACATTTAATAACGGGTCAATTTTAGATCAGTTACCAGGAGTATCGTAGAGGCGATAAAGTATTAAAAATGCACTTGCGTGTTCGAAGTAATCTTCACAATTGTACAGCTCATGGGAATAAGTGTGGCGGAATTACAGTAATCGAGTTATTGAAGGAAAAATACAAATTGACGCCGTCTATGTGAAATTATAAGTTAAATACCTCCATATTGTGCAGTGATTTCAGTTATAATTTTGAACTACTTGATTGCCAATATTAAAGATCGGAGCTTGTATATTAAAAACTAAGATTTTGAAATATTCTTCAATGTTAGTAATCGATTCTATTCGTTATTAGCATTCTTTATAAAGTTAACAAGATTGTTTTTCGTTGTAGATATTCAAATTCTTAAAGGATTACGTGCAGTAATAATGGATAATTTCAATAAGATTCTTAATAGTGAAGAAAGATTTTTATGCATTTTAAAAATCTCAACACCCTTTGATATTAAAATTAAAATCAGAATGTTTAATGCATATCTAAAGCGTTTATAATCCTCATTAATATTACCAAAGAAGGAAAGGTTCTCATTTTTGACATTGGTTATGTTCAAAACAATACAATATGAAGTTTATAAATATGCTTAATAACGGCAATAAAGCACATGTCAGACAGTTGATATTATTTATTTTCCATTTGTTATATCTATTCGACATAGTACTGTACATATGCTCAGACTTCTTGTTGCCTCATATACTAGCTTAAAAGGAGAAAAGTTCTTCCAAGTTTTCAGATAGCTGTACCACCATTGCATTCGGTAATAAATACCTCATATGCATCAAATAGCGTTTAATAAAGATTAGATAAGCATATATATCAATAAGGTGTGAATTATTTTTCCATCACTTATATCATTCTAGTATGTGGTTTATAAATGCAAAGAGCCTTTCCTGCTTGACGATATTATCTGGGGAAGGAGAGATTGCTAATTTTTTTATAGTTCAAAGCTGACTTAGTCTAATAACAGTAACTCGCGTATCCGTTATTTACTACGAGAACGTACATCTTGTAAGGTACTTATGAATAATTTCTATCAGCTACCGCTTTCTACTCGCCTGTAGTTACATTAAATTGTAGTTGCAGCTTAGACTGCCTTGGCAAGTACAGTATTTCCATTTCTCCTGGGTTCTCGAAAATAAAATAGTCGATAAAGTTGAAGACAAGGATGTAACGTTTTACCTCTAGTGTAGAAAAAATTATATCCTAAAATATAATCCATAATATATTTCTTTAATATGTTTTGCTTTTGATCGTCATTTAGAGCTGCATCGGTAAGGTAAGCCATACTTGCCATCATAGTAACGTGAGATATAACTGTTCCTGATAAAGTATTACTCAAGGTAGTAATATTATTAATAATATTAAAAGAAGCTACAGCCGTTATAAAGCACGCAGCTATACATGCTATAGCAATAACACGAGTTATTAATTGGCTAAAATTAGCTGCCAATCTTGGAGCATGATTGCTAAGATAACGATGAAATTCGATCGGGATGCCGACTTCAGTATTCTCATCCGATGTAGATTTTACATTATAATAGAACGGTTTCAGACTGAGTTGTAGAGCATCTACATGTTGATCACTTAACTCTACCATAATTTTTTGACGTAAGTCGTTTAGATCGTTATTAAATCTAGAAAACTCGACGTCATAAATTTTACTCCCATTTTCATCTATCTTATCTAATTGAAATTTTACAAAGATACATTGTTGCTCGTATCGAAATTCTGTATCGCATTCCATTGCTAATAATTCTAATCTAGCTCGTATTACTTCACGAAGATTTTCTAGTCTTATAGGTAGATCGACCTCGACTCCTTTAGGAGTAACGATAAATAAAATTTCCATTTGTCCATCATCGTTGGATAAGTAATCGTCTATATCAGATTGTATTTCATCTTGTAAATCAAGGATATTTTTAGATAGTAATATTTTATCGGCGGAATAACCTTGCAGTGCTTGTCTTGTAAAATAGATAAAAGGGAAACTTGGAGCTAAATAAGCTGAAAAGAAATTACTATGCGCAATAATAAAAGCAGTCGATGTAATTAAAATTCTAATCAATAACTGCAATACTGACCATATTAAAAACATTTCCACAGAGCAATATAGGACAGAAATGATGTAAACAGCGGCTTTGATAAATGCTTTAGAATGGGATAATTTTTTACTATGGCAATGAAACTTTTGGCACAATCGATATGTGATCACATCCGCTTTACGAAACGCATAATATTCTAACGATAGCTTATTTATGATAGCAAACGGGGCACAGCAAAGTAAAACTATGAGCATAGTAATAAATTTCCACCATGTTTGAATGTCGCAGACGTTCTGGGTTAATTGCCGTAGTGTTTTACTCAGTTTGCCTACATACCAAGATAATCGAAAAATAAATTCTCTTTCTGTATATTTCAATATTTTTTCATCTCGATAAGCGATAGAGTTTTCTGCTTCTTCACCTCCGCAATGCACTACTGGTATCAAGGCAATGATCGTTAAGCATCCAAAGGTAATACCGATAATTAAAAACACTGTATACATCTCATATGGGAAAGGCAACTGATGAAGGACAGGAATAGGAAGGAAATGATAAGGGTAGCCTTGTAACCAAGTCGATGCCATAAATCCAGTCATGCTTATAACATAAAGTAAAACATAACGCGTCCATAATCTAGAGCACTGAGCGGACTGATACATAAATCTCCTCAGACGATCGCTGGTGCCTTCGTATTTATATCTGCTAACCAATCTTAAATGAACATATTCTGATAAATCAGTAGTACCTATATTTTCCTTCCTGAAATACATAATATAGATTTAACTATCAATGTGATACTCATAACGAAAATTTTGAGGAAAGAGATAATAATGTAAATTGTATTAATAGTAAGGTCAGCATATTAATCAGACTGCGTTTAATATTTCACATAGGATCTATAACGGTATTAAATAATAGAGGAGATGATACTATAAAAGTATAAATTTAATAACGGAAATCATAGGAAAAGGACAAGAATAGAATTTACATTGATATCGATATTAACATATCAATCAGATTATATTAAGGATTTTACAAGCAATTTTTGGGTACTGTTTAAATGACAGACTTATCTTTGAAGACTGGCAGTATACTGCTGATAAGCAGATGTTATTAAAAGTAAAAATTGAAGGACTGTAAACATTATCCAATTTAGAAAAGCCAATTATACTTATTTACCTATTCTATATCCTATCAAGTGGTTGTTTATTGATAAGATGAAAAGCAAAGAGACATGATTAATTAAGTAATTATAATTTGAGAATAAGCCTTAGATACGATTTTGAACGGATTATTGCTAGCTTTAGAACTTCATGCTCAGTAACATGATTGTGATAGTATAGTATAACATGAGTAACCAGGAAAATAGGTTACGAAATAGCATAAATTTTAATTCAATAAATAGAAAGATAGATAGTTTGCGAGTTAGCTATTTAGATGGATAAAGGACAATTTTCAAATATTGTTAGGATCAAGTAATTAAAATATTACTTGTAAGCATAGTACTCACCAATGAACATTGGGTATATCATGAATAAACCATTTTATGGCACCAGCAGCAAAAATAACGCTCAAAAAAATGGACACATAACGGAAGGCAACTAGAAATGGTGATATGCTATAAGGAATATCGCAGGTTTCATTATTACTAAGGATTCGACAGCATGCAAATGTAATATCATCGAGTGGAGTAGAGATATTAATTAATCGTTTGCATATTGTACCGCAGGTTTTGCCAACACAACTTGATTGGATATTAGCAAACTGCTTAAGGGCGGTAAAAGTGCATAGATCACGTTGAGCTTTATTGGTTATATTGCGATAGCATCCCATTGGAAATTGATCAATTGTCACGTTCATGCTATCTTCAAAAAATAGAGGTAATACTGAAGATAGGATGAAGAGATCGACCGGAATAGTCATTAATGATGGTCCAAAATCTAATCGAACCCAAGCAAATACTGTATGATCTTCAGGTTGAAAAAGTGTTCTATTATAAACATCTAACAAGGATAAAAATAGAACATGAATTGAGGGCAGGCTGCTTTTTATTTTTAGGTTTCTAACATCTTTGGATGATGATACGGCAATGCTGCAGTAATCATCGCAAGCATACTTTCGACATTGCATACAAGGAATACCCATCAATAAAACAACTATCAATGTGAAGAAAATTGTTCCCATTGCAGGCATGATTGCTCTGGATAAATACTTATTAACTTGAAAGATCAACAATGCCTGTATAAGTATGTAGAAAAGAAGCCGTTGTAATCAAGCTTATTTACTAGAAAAATAATCTCTTGCTCAAAATTGTTCAATTAATTATTAATACTCTAGTTTTATGTTTTATCCAATACTATACTTGCCAATAGGTTTAACCTCAACTTATTCGCTGTTTGGTGTTATTATACGATCTTGAAGTTGTGCCAATTGCAATATCAAGTGTGGTAGAAGTTAACGTTCAAAATACAAGAAATAACTGTTTTACAACTCTTCCTGTCATTAAAGGATATTTCCGAATCAAATATCAATTCTGAATTGAACTTGGTTAATCGCTAAAAAAAATATCAGATGCTCTTTAGGGGTAAATGTTTTTACATTATTATCCTTTTACCTATTATAAGTTAATCCCAATTACTTCGATAATTGATGTAAATCATTCACTATTAATGAAAAATTTCAACTATAATTTGTTGATTCATAGTTTACAATATTGTGTTAAGTTTAAACATATGTTATATACTTGTAATTCTGTAATTTAATAATGCTGTAATTATAATTTAATATTGCCTAGACTACATGATGCTTTTCATTAATAACAGTAAACTATTCCACGTTGTTTACTAGGTGAATATAGTATTTAGTACTGTTATCATAGATGGGTTGATACAATTATGCAAGTTATTGCTATGGAATTCTAAAACTAATGCCGACGATCTTATTAGGACTTACCATTGGGATATACGTGTTCACTGTAGTATTACACGTAGAAGTCAACAAGGACCTTTGCAGTACTAATATCGTAGTAGAAATGATAGAGAAGATAAAAGCTTATGTATATTTGCTTCGATACTGCAATCTATAAGTTTGTACTACAAAGTATATTCAGATAGTTACGGCCACAACCATCTTGTTGCAGGCTAGTTGTGGATTAAAAATATTGGTAAGGATCACTACAGCAGTATCTTATCAGAACTAATATAGAAATACAGTTTGGTGTTTTGATCATATCACTACAGCGCAGTAAATACGGGATTATAGTAATCTAGCTCTCTTTTTAATATAAGAGTTGTACTTGGAATACACCGTAGCCTCTACACAAAATTATCTTCGATTACCACCATAAGTTGTTATGACATTGATGAACGTATCCATGCTATATTACTGTATAACTAAGAGATAAATTGACAACTACTTTGTGATTAACATTATGATAATTATAAGCTAATTTGCAGTAGAAGTAACGTAGATATTATGTCATAATTGCTGTACTGCTGGCTACAGAGGAGGAATAATCCAAAGCAGATGGCCATTGACAGATGAATGATTCAGTTTTATTATTTAATTACTCACTAATACATGAATTATTTACTGTAATTTTATGATATTGCAATGATCAAGTAATAGTCTTTTACTATTATTATAGTATTCTTTATGTCAAACTGTTGATGATAGTTACTACGCATGCAGTAAAAATACCCGTTAATGATAGAGCAGGATCAGTTACTAAAACAGCTAGTTAATTTACTATTCGTCAACGAGTTTATGAAGAGTAAATTGGGTCAGAAATACTGAGCTAAGAAATAAAGAGCATGAAATCAAAGTGATTAAGAACATTTATATCAGTACAGTTGTAATGTAACTGGTATTGTGATTGTAGACTGTTAGCCATGTTTAGTATAATGTGCGGTAGATATTTGGTAGCTATAACTATAGACTGTAGCGGTAGAGACTCATGCTAAAGTACAGATGACTATATACGGTAAGATGTTGAGCTACTAATAAGGCTACAGGTAAAAATAGAACTGTAAATTATATATTAGGATATGGTTAATTCATTGTACTTTGGCTGGTGTGAATAATGTCTACGTAAGTCTGTAGTCGTATCCATATTGGATTAATGATGGTCCGCAGTAGAATAGTCTTACTAAGAATAATTTAACTATGTGTAAAATAAGGTAAAAGGTTGCCATGCGGATTGTAGCTGCGAATGCTACGAAAAGTATAAAAGCATGCAACTTTAGATTATTCTGTTAGTTCGTTCTAAAAGTCTTTAGTGGTAGTATTCGGCTAGAGTAGAGCTGTGTGTAGTTAATCTTTGTATAAGATTCAATAAAGCCCTTATTTTTCTAAAATTTGGAATCTCGTGTGATGGGTATATTATCCGTATATATCACATTACAGTATTTCAAGCTAATAGCCTTTCTGGTGACTAAGCTAGTACGCTATTCAGAGACATTTATGGCTAAAACAGAGACAGAGTGCTCCGCTAACCTACAATATTAGTATAAAGGCTTGCCATTAGATATCTGAAAGATCTCTACTGTTATTTACACCTTTACGTAAATAGCTAATAACAAGAAGAGCCCACGGGCTATTGCTATCCGGTAGAGTGGACAAATAGTCCTGGAAAACTTAAAATATGAAAGAACTAAAAAACAATCTATTCTACAATCAAAATAAACTTAGTGAACAGAATTCTAAAATTACAATCGGTGATTTCACCACAACACACACTGTTTATCTTCATAAACAGTATATCATTCACAGCGTGAAGAGACCATTAATAATAATATTGATAAATTCATCATCGCTAGCTAGGGATGATCATATTTGGAAATTACGACATTTTCACCTACCAAAATATTTCCATAGCTCTAACGATACTCCTATACCAGGATTATAATTATATTAATCAACATGATAGGAAAATCTAATAGATGACAAATGAAATCGATTTGCTGAATAGTTGTAATTTTATCATTTGTTAACTACGATAATTTTACTATAAGTAATATTGTTATTCATGAGGTATCAAGGAAATGGGACTGTAGATTTGATAATTTAAGAACTATAATTAACATCATGATTCAATAAATCATTTATAGCAGTTCTCAACAGGGATTATTCCTAGCTGTTATTACCTACGAAACAGAGTTGCAATCTATAGTCAATATGAAGTAGTATTTATCAACTTCGTGCTGTTAATGATCTTAATGATCAAGCATGTTGAACGTGTGATACGTGATGTAAGTTTTATAACGGTAAAAGGACAAGATTGCCAATAGAAATGTTAAGACATCTTCCATCGTTCACGCCTTTCTAACATAATACATACGATAATAGCCGTTTTAGTAGCTTAGACGATTGCAGGAGAAGAATTCTTGCGATCTTGCACAGTTCCACGAGAATAGAAAGTTTGATGAAACTGAAGACAGGGATGTAAAGTTTTACCTCTACTGTAAAAGAAATTGTATCCCAAGATGTAATCTAATATATATTTCTTTAATACTTGTTGCTTTTGGCTCTCGCTCAAGTCTTTGCTGGTAAAGTAAGACATACTTGACATCATGGTGACAAAGGATAAAATAGTTCCTGATAGAGCATTACTTAATGAATTGATGTTGTTGATGATATTAAAGGAAGCTACAGCCGTTATAAAGCATCCCCCAATAGTGGCTATCGCAATAATGCGACTTAGTAGTTGGCCAAAGCTTGTTGCTAATCCAGATGCTTGGTAACTAAGATAGTTATAAAACTCGATAGGAATACCCACATCAGTAAGTTCACCTTCTTCATCGTGTAGATCATAATAGAACGGTTTCAAATTGAATTGTAGGGTATGCAATTGTTGATGACTTAATTCTTCTTCAATTTTATAACGTAAATCGTTCAAATAATCATTAAATTGTGAGAATTTAACGCTGTAAATTTTCTCGCCATTTCCATCGGTGCCATCCTGTCGAAATTTTACAACAATTGATTGCTGCTCGTATCGAAATTCTGTCTCACATTCTATTGTTAACAATTCTAATCGAGTTCGTATCATTTCACGAAGATTTTCTAGTCTTATCGGTAGATCGACCTCCACCCCTTTTGGAGTTACAATAAATAAAATTTCCATACGTCCCGTATCTTCCGATAAATAATTATCCTCTTCCGATTTTATTTCTTCTTGTAATTCAAGAATAGCCTTCGATAAAGCTATTTTATCACCAGAATAGGATTGTATTGCTTGTTTTGCAAAGTAAAGAAATGGAAAACCAGGAGCGAAGTATGATGAGAAGAAGTTGCTATGGGCTACAAGAAATGCTATTGATGTAATTAAAATTCTAACTATTAATTGTAACGTTGACCATATTAAAAACATTGACAAAACACAAAATAAGACAGAAATGACATAGAGTATAGCTTTGATGATAGCTTTAGAATGAGGCACATGTTTGCTATGGCAGTGAAATTTTTTACATAATCGGTAGGCAATAATATCTGCTTTGCGGAATGCATAATATTCCAATGATAGCTTATTAATAATTGCGAATGGAGCGCTACAGAGTACAACTACAAATAGTGATAAAAATTTCCACCATGAGTCGATATTGCAGAAAAAATCACAACACAGTTGCTTTGTTGCTGTAACCAATTTGTCAAAATACCATACTAATCGGAAATTGAATTCTTTTTCCGTATATTTCAATATTTTTTCATTTCTGTATGCGATAGCCTTTTCCGCTTGCTTACCACCGCAATGGAAAATTGGTATTATTACAATTATGGTTAAGCATCCATAGATGATACCTAAAATTAGGAATGCTCTGTATGCGAGAATTGGGAATGGGAGCTGATGAAGTACTGGAACGGGAAGAAAATGGTAGGGATGAAATTGTAGCCAAGACGATGCTATAAATCCAACCATGCAGAAGATATAAAGCATGATATAGCGTATCCATAAGGTCGAATTTTGTGTAGATTGATACGAAAGTCTTCTTAAACGATCACCAATACCTTCATACATATATTTACTAACTAATCTTAAATGAACATATTCCGGTAAAGAAGGGGTACTTATATTTTCTTTTCTGAAATAGAAAATATAGAAATAGCAAAAATGTGATTTAGACGAAGAAAATAGAAAATATAGATGTAAGATCTCAATAGTTATTCTTAGGTGGTACAGTAGATCCATTACCCTTCATAATCACGGCTAAAGTTTAATATTAAATAACCTCTATTATTTTAATGCATGACTGATCGTAGTAGACTGTTATTGTAAAGTTTGTAAAATAGGCTACATTTGTTTTATCTCAAATAGTAACTTTCCTTTCAAAAAATTGTTGTAAAATGAGCTATCAGCACATATTTTTCATGGTTACAAATGATGACATCAGTTATGGGGGATTTTAACTAGCATATCCCTACTTTAATTTTCTATTGTAGTCTAAATCATCGTTAAAAGTTCGCTAGCAATACGTGTTTCAACTGATTGCAAATGAGAGCATCAGTTATAGGGTTCTTAACTTGCAAATACAAGCTCATTATCGACAGTAATCTAAACTGATAATTTTTCAATTAAATTTATATTTCAATTAATTGCAAAAGAAAGAATCAATTATGACGACTGTAATTAATATATAGCTGTTAATTACTAACTGCCATTAATTTCAATAATTATAATTAAGGGCTAACGTACTATTACTGTCTGATTGCTGTTTAATAGGATTAGACGATAACATTTGATAACTGATAAGTAAAGTGTTATTAGTGCATAGCTGAATGATAAGATCGAAAACTAGGGTAAAACTTTTATTCATGTGAAAGAATCATGTGGAAAGTTGTAGTCTGCAATTCGATCTATCGATAATTACCCTGACTGAACAGCTAGTTGTAGTCAATTTTAACGTTTCAATTAAAAGAGAAAGTCGAAAGAATGCTGACGATAATGCAGTAACCATTGCTGGCAGTATCTATTTTATTTAGAGCGTAAATAGAGGTCTAAAAGAATTAGCAGTAGTTCTAAGAATTAAGCAAGCACCTGAATGGCATAGGTTATGATATATTAGAGAATTTTTTTGAAATTACAGTAGTTTACGTATAATTTTAGATTGTTGTGTAATTAAATTTTACTCGAATTTAGTCAAACTTACTGTTGAACTGTTGGTACGTCCTGGATTAACCATCTCAAGACACCCGCTGCTAAAATGATGCTTAAAAAAAGGGAAATGTAACGGAAAGCAATAAGAAATGGCGATGTAGAAAATGGAAGATCACAGACTTGAGCGTTATTGAGGACACGACAACAAGAAAATGTGATATGATCGAGTGGAGTTAGGACATTAATTTTTCGCTTGCATATTGTACCACAGCTAGAGCCAGTACAAGAGAGGTGGACGTTAGCAAAATGTTTCAGAGCACGAAAAGTACATCGATCACGTTGAGTAGTATTTAGTTGATGGTAACATCCCATGGGGGATTGATCAACAGTAACATTCATACTACTCTCAAAGAATAACGGTAATAGCGAAGATAAGACGAAAAAATCCACAGGCATGGTCATTAAATTTTGGCCAAAATCTAATCGAACCCATGCGAATACCGTGTGATCATCTAGGGGAAAAAGGGATTGACCATTTATATCGTTTAGTGACAAGAACAAGACATGATTAACGTCTTGATTGGTATGATATTTTAGACGCTGTGAATCAACGGTTGATGGTAGAGTAATGCTACAATGGTCATTGCAAACAGAGTAATTTAAACATTGGATTGCAGGAAGATAAAGGAATAAGGTAATTAATACGATGAAAATTGTTGAAGCCATCATTCAATCCAAACTTGAAGGCCAAATGATAACGTAATGAATTGTGGGTGTTGAGATAGAGCGATGTCAGAGTAGATTAATGAATACTTCTTCTATTAAGATGGATATAGAAATGGTATTTTAGGCTAGCAGTAGAAAGAAACGTCTTCTACCAAATGTTAGACAAAATGAAACAGTAATCACATAAATTTTGTTATTAATCCAAGGGGTGAGAATTTCCAGTCGAGGTTGAAAGAAATTAGGATAATTTCTATCTCCTAAACAGGGTGGACGTTGTGAAAATTAAGATAGGAATGAAAGCTTGCTAATAGGATAACAGACCACTCGATAGGAGTTTATGAAAGAATCGACTACGGATAATTTGCTCTTGCCATATGTTAGTCCAAGTCGATGACAATGATAGTTATACTGTATCTATCAGTACGTCGATGATGATTACTTTGATTTGTGTACGCTAGGACTGTAAGTCAGTTTTGCAATTCTAGCACAGTCGTTTTCAATACGCCTCTTTCGCTTGGCTTGTCAATCACTTGCTTATTCTCCGGTGTCTACGCCAATACCTAGACACGATAGGATTGGTCTATTAAACTAGAGTACTGTAAAGGGATAGTTAGGCAATGAACAAGCTCGGAAATACGATAAGTCAAGGCTAACTTCTAAGTAAATTCTGCAGCTGCTTTAAAACACGTCAATTCCACTTGGCTTGTTGATTACTCAGTCGTATCTATGTAAGAAATCTTGTACTGGAACTCCAATCTGATTTAGATAAAGGCTCAATAAAATGTTCTAACTTGAGAAGGTGGAAAATATGATCAATAACAGCGTGAAAATTTGCCTGCTAGTCAACTCCACCGTCACTTTCAAATATTTAGTTCAATTCCAACTAGCTTGTTTCATCAATGGGTCGCAACCATGTAAACTATCTTATACCATCAGTAAAACCTGATTTGGACCAACTCTTAACTTTACGATAGAAGACTACGTCTATCTTATTCTATTAATTATTAGCGGTCAAGCTACGTATTACTGTAACTTAAGAAAGCCAGTTAATACGATCAATAACGCCAATTCAGATTACTTGCAAGTGAACTCCATTACTACTTTAAAATACGTAAATTCCACTTCATTTGCCCATCACTTGGTCATGTCGATGTAAAATCTCTTGTACTGTCGCTAAAATAAAGTTAAGATCAACTCTTAATTGATCACGATACGATGGAGACTATGTTCACCGTCAAGCTATTCACTTAGAAAATCGGTTCAACGATCCACAATGCCCAACCAAGTTTGCTTGCAAGTCAACTTCACAGCTGCTTTAAAATATGTTCATTGCACTTCGTTAGGCAATCCTGTGCTGATGTAAAAATCTCTTGTACTGTCGCTAAAATGAGATTTTGATGAACTCTTTAATTAACTAGCATAAGATTATGAGTTTGTTTCCAATCAAGGTGGTGGTCAATCAAGTCAGAAAATACGATCAATATTTCAGCCTGAAAATTGGCTGCCGTCTTCAACCTAATAACGCTTTGGCTTAATTTGATTCGGTTGGAGGCGAGTTTATTGATTACTCTATCGTGTCTTTCTCGACACTCTCTTGCACCCTGATTTGATAGATTGATTGTAAGCAATTTCTTGCAGCACTAGCGGGATTTGGTGTTAACATGGAAAGCAATTCAAAGTTGCCTGTACTGTCAAGCAGCGATGTCTCGCCAATGTCTACTATTCCTATAGTCCGATTACAAGCGAATAAAAGACAATAGATGATAGGCAAGCTGTTGCATATTGATTCTACTGTAGAACTTCTACAGCATCTTCTTCTTATGTAAACACGTAGAAATGGAAAGAAAGGAGAGCTTTTACCATGCCCCACCAGCTAAAAGGCAAAAGAAATAGGCAGAGAATGGAGGGGAAAAGTTTTCTCAGGATGAGCTCGCCGGTAGGGTACTGTACCGAATAAGACAATGGATTATACTCTACCGTATAACGATAACAGTATCAAATGGAATCAACTCTCCTAGTGACTGAACATGGAATAGCGACTGATAGTTTGTATGAGAAACTTGCAAGAAATTCAAGTTTTCCATACTGCGATCCAAAGTAATCAAAATATCAACAGCCAATGGCTCAAGGTTGGGCAGATCTCTCCGCATGGAATTGGAGCCAAGCTGAAAGTTCATTTCTTCACCATTTAAAGACATAATTTAAGGCAAGACGATAGCCGAACATCTTTCAAGCATTTTCCAGGGCTCACTACGCCCTTGTAATAGTGGTCTGGTCATTCTCGGCCTACGGTATGACCAATCTGAGCAGCTAAACAACAGTCTCGCGACCGATCCAACATAGCGCTAACATCAAATCGATCAATATCAAATTCTAAAACAGATCACATTATTGCATGCATTTCTAGAAATTATTGAGCCAAAAATTTACCGCAAGCTGTACTAGTAGGTACATTTCGCCTTTGTAATTGTGGTCAGTCAAAGCTTCTTGACAGAGTATGTCCTGCCCATTTTTATCATCGGGATGCCGATGATTGTGCCGGTATCATGCAACAATTAGGTTATAAACGATATTCCATCGTAGCCTACAGTGATAGTGGTGTAGCAAGGGTAATTTGAGCCGGTAAACATCCCGATAGGGTTAAAAAATGAATCTTAATAGCCACTCGTTCTTACATCATCGAAGAAGATCAAAATAGATCTCGGCATAAGCAAAATAATACTCAATTTAATCCCTTCATTTTAGATAGAGCAACAGAAGTTCATGGTGGTGGTAGGGAAACTGCCCCAAAGTGATAGACTTCATACTTGAAGACCTATTCTGAGCTGTATGATTGCGATAACAATTTATATCGATCTAAATTGAGTATGATTAAATGCTCAACTATTATCTTACATGGTAAACACAACTTTACGGTTCCAGCTTTTTTACGCTCATTATTTATATGATCATATTAAGGACTCACATTGACATTTAATTGAGACTGGTTGTCACGGTTAACAATTTCAATTTCAGATAAACTTGTAAGATTAGTGAAGACATTTTTAATCGATGATACTATCGGGTTAGGGATAAATTAGAAGTTTACAATAGCAGATACATGGGTATATTGTATCAAGGAAGGAAGATTGTCGTCAATAATGCTTCATTTGTGTTAGTATTATGATATTTTCTTTTCACTTTAATAGATGCAATTTACACCTACGTAGTTCCTGGAACTGCACTTGATTTTATTACTAATACAGTCTTTTAGAATAGAGTAGTGTTTAACTTACCGTAGTCTGGATATTATCGAACATTGGAAATTTATAGATATCTCGTATACCATATGCTTCTACGACAAGTGTAGCACGTTATCTTGCAAGCCGAATTCTTTTCCTCGTGTATTCTTCGATCTCATCAAATATACAGTCGTTAGATTTACAGTGAAACGCGACTTTGATTAAAGCCAAGTTGTTGTAAATGTGACTATAAACAGGAAGTGATGATATAAATGTAAGACACAAAATTTGTCATCTACAACTTAATACTACGATTCATTTGCAACTTTAAACTGTTTATGCACGCATTGAATATGCGAATCTTGGATGATAGACATCAGTAAAATTGCTGCTGGATTATTCTTATTAGTCAATCATTATAAATAATGCGTAATTATATTATATACGTATGTTATATACTTTTATACATCTCTTTTGTAACTGGCTGATAATATAATATTAGTACTACATTATCGCCTTAATTATTTAACTGGATGAACTGTAAAATATCGTAATATCGTTATTATAAGCTAGATTTAGATTGATTTGTGGCATAGTACCATACTGCTGTATATAGTATTCTATTAGTATCCGGCTGTCACGGTACTAAATTACCGTGAGTAGTTCTAATGTGTAAATATGGAGTTTTAATCTATATTAAGGTATGACGATTGCTACTACTAAATATAGTGTAAATACATGCAGTAGAACCAAGATCGATCATATCAACATTTTCGTTATGAAGCTGTTATCTTGACTGGATAGATATTATTCCCTCTAGATAGTAATTGCTAGATTTAGCGGTAGAATCCCGAATATAGATGCTGGGGACTGGTTTAGCCGATATATTATAAACCTGATTTGTAAAATGTAAATATTCTAGATTAAAATCTTATACCCAAATGTGTTCGAGAAGATATAATGATAATCGGGGATATTTCCCATATCAATTCTGTATTTAATAGGACTAGAGCATAGAGAAGTCCTAAAGGAAACATTTAGTGTGAAATATCGTCTATAAATAGTAATATCGTAGCCTTGCGAGGCGTTGATGCAGTTAAAGTGGTTATACTGTTAAAATAGCTATTTAAAGGCTTGCCGATTCGGTTAATAAGTTAGATTTGTGATTTCATCATTTTTAAGTTGAAGACTTGAACTTATTGTCTAGATTGTTGAAGAACTCCAATATGATCTAAAGATCAGGACTGCTGTACGCTTAGTTTCACATTATTACTCATAGCTATTTGGTGCAGTTTGCATACCATAGCTCTTCAGTATATCATAGAAAGTGACCATTTTATAACATGAAAGAAATTACAGAGAACGATAGAAATGATGCCAGAGACTGCTAATACAAAGTATAATAATAATGAGAACCTCACGTGGACTTCGCGATGGAAAGACATTTCAACATGAACGACTGTATCTCCACAATTTGACCTTGCTGTAGGCGATTTTGCAAGTGCGTATATAATTAATTAGCTCAGGGAAAATTTACAAGACAATGCAATACGCTTGCTATACTCTTTAGTCAACGACCTCTCTGTCAATAAGCACAACCTTGGCGCCAAGAGGATATTAACTAACTACATTAATAAATATGCAAAACTAGTCTGTAAAACTGCGATTTGGAGTCTTTGGAGGTAAGTAAGGTCATCAATCCTATTGTACTATCATTTGCTAGTTATCAAGGTAATCTAACCTTCAAGGTAGATCTATCCTTATTATATAATGATATTGCATCGATAACTTTTCTACAAAAAAGGTGCAGCATCGTTCTGTCTTCACAAAATTGTTTTACTATAAAGTTGGTGCAGTAACTCCTACCATCTACAATGTCTCTACGCGCTGTAAAATTAAAATCAAATGTTAATACTTTAGAAAATAATAACATTACGATAGTGAGGTAGTCCTTATTACAGTATCAGCAAGTTCGCACGGGAACAAAAATGGTTGTACTTAAAAAATAACTAGCAGAAAGCTTGTGATATATAAGCAAAGATGATTTGTAGGAGCATACTATCCTTTTCTTCTCCGATTGCTCTCTTAGTACATTCTATTTATAGCTAACTTTTTCTTCAGGATTGATCATTTTCATTTTATTAACTTTGTGTACTATACAGTACCAGTTGGTATGACACAAATTTCGGATCTCGTTTTGTACCTTAAATCCTTGATGATAGACATTTACCCTCGGATTTCAAGGTTAATTTGCAGTATACGTGTGCTGAAAGTATCCAAATTAATGCTGCGAATACTAAGGCTACATTCAGGTTTCGGCATGTCCTCAATGCAAATTTTATCAGTGTATCATGCTATAGTCCTTGATACAGTTCTATGATGCAGAAGAGAATTCTTAAACTCATAGTACCTTAGTAGCTCGATGTAGAATGCTTCGTTCACAATAATCGACATGAGAGACTTTTAGCATGAGATTGCTATCATGTTGCTCGAGTTATCTATGAATTTGTGCGCATATTAATGGAGTGAAAGCGAACCAATGACAGCTAAACATTCACTAATTCATTAAAAACAAATAAACAAGACCTGAAGACGTGTTATCACCTATCTTTATTTTGCAATCTAATTTACAAAGTCAAACACCACTCTTAAGCAATGACCCATTTTTGTGTAGGTTAGTCTTGCTCGATGAGGTGATATCGATACAGAGTTTGTTATTCATGTTAGCATCTTGTACATAATATCATCATCATCAATGATGACATTATTTCTTTATTGCTCTAACCATGTACATTTATTATGCAGACTATCAACATCGAGCAAAATGGCCATGGATAAAGAAACAATGTTAACTTTAATCAAAAGAGATTGGAACACGGAAGTACAAAAAGATTCCTCTGTAAGATAACTATGATCAGTTAATTGAATAAGACTTTCATGATTATTCGAGCCAATCAAGGTTTTATAAATGAGAGAGGATCAGCGAGATATCATTGGATGCTAGCATACAGTGGCATAGTGTTAAATAGGAACCAATTAGCGAGCCATTTCTACTGCATATTACCATTTAGGGACATCCAAAAAGAAATACAGTAGGATAAATGAGGCTTTCTTTTCAATTATGTTACATGTACTTTATACCTATGTAAAGATATTTGTTATGGCCTAAGACGAGGTACGATATGTTTACAGTAGTTCAGCGTAAAGATTACTGTTATGGGCTACGGCAGGATACGGTACTTTTAGCTCAACGTGAAGGATATATTTCTAAATCGAATGCATTTAATACAGTATAAGGATGATTAAGAAAGAATACTTACAGCAATAAGCATCACTTTGATTGTGCTACCATGCTACTGGAGATAGGGACTGCAAACAAGTGCTAATCCCTACAGTAGAGCCGATGTTTTATCCCCTTAATGATTCAGTGAATAGACTCCTATTACTGCCACATTAATTAGGTTGCCATAGTTATGCTGCATAAAGTAAATTGGATCTTTAAATTTACTGTTAAATAATCTTGTTTGATTGTAGATCGGATAACACTTATAGTACAGTCGATCTACTATGACTAGAAGTCATGACGATTGGCAATATGAAATAGGACCGTAGCAACATAGTATTCCGATGCCAACAGCTGATCATCGATAATTATAATACAATCGAATGCTATAACAAATTATGCTTAATGGGCAAAATTAGAAATGTTCGATAATTATACTTTGATATTAAATAATTAGACATTGATATTGCATATAATATTATGGAGTGCTAGCAATATCAGTCAGGTCTACTGACGTTGAATTTCACTGTATATACTGCGGGAAAATTTTTTTTTTTGCACTTTACAGGCTATTCTACCAACTCATATCAGCTGATCAGCATTAATATTGTAAATCAGAAATGAACAAATAGCCTCAATTAAATTAATCTCTCGTCTTACAGAGTAATATCACTTTAACCTGATAATTACGCATAATTTCATATTTGTTATGCTGTCATTCAGTATTCTTATACAACGGATTTATTCTTCTAATAAAAAGTGTTTCTTTTACGCAATTACCATCAAATAACGAGTTATTTTTTACTTTGTTCTGTCTACTATAGTTACAGGTTAAAGGTCCAACTTCCCAGGGCTTTCTAATTGTTGATGGCCAAAAGTTATACTATTCCACTTGGGGAGAAGGAAGCGAAATTTTGGTCATCCTTCCTGGGAATTTAGGTGTCGGGGAAATGGATATGATCCACTTAGTAAAAAATGTACCGCAAGGTGTTTTAGTAGTTACATTTCATGTTCGTGGTTGTGGTCAGTCAAAGCCTCCCAATAGAGAGTATTCTGTCGATTTCTATGAACGAGATGCTGATGATTGTGCTAATATCATGCAACAATTAGGTTATAAGCGATATTCCGTTTTAGGTTGGTGTGATGGTGGTGTATCTGCGATGCTTTTGGCTGCTAACTATCCTGATAATGTTAAAAAATTAATCCTTTTAGGCTGCCGTGCTTTTATTTCAGAAGAGGATCAAAATAGATATAGGAATATGCAAGATATAACTAAATTTAATCCGTTTATTTTACGCGATTTTATAAAAGTTCATGGCAATAAAGAAACCGCTCAAACGATTTGGTCGTCCTACTTGAATACATTTTTTCAATTATTTAATCGCGATAATAACTTGTGTCAATCTGAGTTAACTATGATTAAATGTCCAACAATTATCTTACATGGTAAACATGACTATTTGGTACCAGCTTTTCACGCTCAATACTTACGTGATCACATTAAGGGTTCACGATTACACCTAATTAGTGATGGTAGACATGCATTACAATATCAGTTTCCAGCTAAAATTGAAAGATTAGTTAAAACATTCTTAATGGAGGATGCTGTTATACCTTGGGATGAACTATAAATCTACCTTACTACATTGGTTTGGATTCATCAAGAAGTAATATACGTCGGCAGTAATTAATAATTAGGCTTACAGTATTTCAAGAAATCATTTGTAACTGGGTCTAGCTAGAATTAAAAACTGTGTATTAAATAAATATTCGAATTTATGATAGAAAATTTATGATAGCTGCTAAGTTATTTTCGTGTAAATCAATCCTGAAGTATTTCTACTTTTCGAAAATCGACTGAGATGTAACTACCATTGCATTACCAATTTTTATAATTAATAGTAAATTTTAATGTGTTAGTCAAAATTTTTAACTCTGTACATAGTAATTTTCTACATTCTAACTCGTTTTCACCAGATAAAATTTTTATTCGTCAAAATTTTGAACACTGTAGAACAATCCTTTTGGGAAGAAAATAATACGAATAACAGTGCAAATCACAATACTGTAGATTACAATCTTATATAATTAAATTGTTACTGTAGCTATATAATTCATAATAGGTGATAATTTGCATTTTTATACAATTAAGTTTCTACAGCATTTCCATTGCCAAAATTAAGAATGTTATTTATAGTACACGTACATAAGTCGTAATCAACGTAAATTATAACATGGTTATATTTCATACCTTAATTACTACATTCACGCTAAGGCCTACGTAGTAGAATATTCCATAATCACTAATACGGGAAAATTTATGAACAAAATTAGTCAAAAGAGCTGTTAAATAACTATGGCTAATTACATCACATAAAGACGGCACTCGACTGAATAATTCAAATAACCGCCAACCGAAGTAGTGATATATAAATAAATAATTTTAAATGTATTTAATTGCTATTCAATCAATTTCATAAATTAGAATGCTATATATATGCCCATTTCCTGCAACAAAAATATAAACGGTCTCTCATATTAATTCTGTATGGCACCAGTTTTTCTATAACTTTTCATAGATTTAAAATTATTACAAGAGTCTTTATAATTCATATTAACACAATATAATTAGCTTTCCATGTTTTTGAATATTGCGCAGTATTTAAGAGTCAATTTCTTAAAATTATAAAACAATCAAATTATCGCTGTCATCATAAGAGCGTAAAGATAACAATTACGGTGCACACCGCCAAGAATATAACTGTTGCGCCGGATTTTCCATATCTTGTTTAACGGAATTGACGGATACCCTTTTAATACATCCATGAAAACCTCGTACTACTTTTATAGATGCACTGACAGGAAGGAAGGTATAATCAAAAACGCCACCAATATAAGGTGCATAGTTGAAAAATTCATTAAATGTTAATGTTCGACCAAGATTTGCAGATTGAGTTCGTCCATTTACAGTTACCGTCAAGGTCTCCCGCGATACATTTGCCGTTGCTATGTAAAGTAGTAGTAAAATTTGATTTTAATTAACAAAATCGTAATTTTATTACACAAATAAGAATGATAATAAAGATCCTTACCATGATACCAATTTTCAGGTTCTACATCAACGCTCGATTTCACCCGGAGGCTACCTTCCCGTTGTAGGAATAGTGCCTCTAACTTTTTTTCATGTAGATATAAAAGTAACGACGTTTGTTCTATGATCTCTTCGTAACCATTATTTAGAAAAAATATCAAGCCATCCTTTACTGTTGTTCCAGCAGGTTTAAATCTCAAGCTTACAATGTATGTACTTTCAATGCGTTGTGGAGTGTGCCTAATCTTTACATATCCTTGACCACTACTATTAAAGGCCGCGGAGTAAGCGTCATCTATTTGAGAATGAAAGAACAGTGATTTTCAGTCAATGAGAACCATTCGCCAACGTTTACATTAGATTAAAAAATTCTGTAAGCAACACTAACCCTTTGTAATAGTTTCGCTCCATTGACCATATACTGTTCCTACTGCGTTTGTTGCAGTAAGCCGTAAGATATAAGCTGTATTACTTTTAAGAGAGGTAAGGTGGTAGTTTTGAGAATCAAGCGGTATCGTTCGCTTGTAACAGACATTGCATGGTCCCGTTATCAAGGTATCCGAAGAGCTATTCCTTTCAGCGTATTCAACAACGTAAGTGATTAGTGCCTTATCATAGCCTCCAGTATAAGCAACTGGCTTCCATGTAACGTTAACAGTGAAAACGCCAGGATTAACTTCAAATGGTAACAGATTACCAGGAAGACCTATTAAATGATTGATATAAGGTGTACAAGCATATTAATTAATAATAAAATATATAATCGGTAAAGCCATATCAAACTATTACCTTTGGTTGCCATATAAGTAAAATCGGAAAAACTCCTGCCAGCTTTATTTTCGGCAACAATTCTGACCATATATGTTGTATTTTGTCGTAAATTTGGAATAGAAATTAATTCATTGTTTGAAGTCCTAATAAACTGACAACTTCTGCATACATTTCCCGCGCCAATATTGGTCCCTCTAACGTAAATTTGATACTCTACATAATATGTTACATCATTTAGTGGGTACCCTCCATTTTTAGTTATAGGTCTCCATGACACTGTCGCTACCCTGACAGTAGTAATAAAATTTCGAATCTGAGGTCGTTCGGGCACTCCTTTTTGTATAGATGTAATATTATGGATGAGTAAGTTGCATGTCTACGCAGGTTTAGTCATAATTGCTATATCAGTGAAATAGAAGTATGCATACATTTCATAATCCGATTACCTTTTGTTGTCATTAATTGCCATTCAGAGTAGCTTGATCCAGCTTTATTGATAGCAATTAAACGTACGCTATACGTTGTATTAGTATTTAGTCCCACTATCATATGTGAGTGATCAGCAGGGTTCACAGCACTTTGTAGGCAATCCCCACAAGCTACATTTTTTGGAAGACTTTTGCTATCCCATTTCTGATATTCTAATCTATACTCTACTTCACGTAGCTTATAATTACCATTGAATGTAACAGGATTCCAGGAAATAGTCGCAGTATTAGGAGCAGTCACTATTTGACTTATGCTAGCTTTATCTGGTTTTCCTGATGACAAAAACAAACAGAAGTACAAATGTAATGCGTACTGAAGTATGTGGTGGAGTAAATAGTAAATTAAAATTAAACTATAATACCTTTTGTCGCAAATGTTTGCCATTTACTATTTGATTCCCCTAATGGGTTTTCAGCTATAAAGCGATATCTATAAGTAGTATTCTCCTTTAAATTCTCAATTAAAACATTTCCTTTCAAATCAGGAAGTTTCACAATTTTGCAATTTTGGCCACAATTTTCTGGATCACTTGCTAATGTCAATTGTAGATATAAGAAGTAGTCTCTGAAATCGTATCCTCCATTATGAGTGATATTTCCGTAAGATATCTTGGCGTTGTTATTCTCGATTATCATTCCAGAGACTAGAGGTAAATCTGGATGACCTTCAATTTAGAATAATGTATAAATATTAATTTGATTTATCAACTGATGAAATGTTAAAGGCACACTAAAATCGTTAGTACTTTTATGCTAAGCAATCATTAAATTAAATGTTATAAATAATGTAATTAGAATACTTATGAAAAGCCGTTTAGATACACTAATAAAAAAGTGCAAGCGCTACCTTTTGTTGTAAAATGTTGCCAGTCACCGTACAGAATTGATTCCTCATTATTGTTCAATATGACCAGAACTCGAAGCACATACTTAGTATGGCCTTCCAACGATAAAATTACAACAGGAGATCTAGTCAAAGGAGCAGTAAGTTGACATGTTCCGCAAGTACCAGAACCAATGTTTGCATTGCGAAAGTTTTCTTCTGTAGTATACTGAATTAGTGTTTGTCTGTTTGAATCTGGACTGGCCGAATTTCCACTGTACTGCCACCAAATAGTAGCGGTTTTAGAGGTAGTTTCAATCGCCGATAACTTAACATTGGTATCTAAATAAGATTATTTAAATAAACGTTACTATACATACGGTAATACTGCTAATGGATTAAAAACGGCCAATTAAAACGATATACCCTTTATGATGTTATTATGTTAGGTTAATTTAGCTTAAATATTATTGTGATTAGTACTTGTTGTTAGTTCACGAGTTACACGCTTCTTCTGGTTAGTTAAAATTAGTTTTTCGTTCCGGTAATTTGATGGCAATAATTTAGAATGTGAAGGTAAAATAATATCACAGTTGGGGCCACCCCAGCCTGGCATGCAATGGCAATCGCTGCCATATTTACAAAAACCGTGTTCTATTGTAGATTCAAGTGTGGTAGATTTGGTTGAAAGATTAGGTATTAGTTGTTATTTATGTCAAGTTAGACACTGAGAGTTGGTTTGATATAATTGTAAAGATGAAGTATATTATGAATCGAACTGCTAAATAAAAAATATAAATATAATTTAACGCATACCAGAACAGCCTGGGGATATTTTACATTCATTACATGACTCTCCTGTCCATCCGATATCGCAGCTGAGTAAAATAAATAGCGGATTATTACAATCGTATTTGATAAAAGCCATAAATTTTAAAATTATTCCTCATTAACGGTAATGCTTTGATCATTCTATGTCTTACTTGCACTTGCTACGATTACCAAAGCAGTTTCCATGCGCTTCGTTGCACGAGACACCACATATAGCTAGTAGTAATTACACTTTATTTACTATATCATTATAATAATGCAACACAATTTATTGCAATCATCAAACTGGTGATATACTTACGAGTTTCACAGAAGAAGCCTGTATAGCCTGGATAGCAAGAACATGGATTTCGTTCGGTGATAGCACCATTTCCTAAAAAATGATAGTAAAAATAGTATGCAGTGAATATAGAAGGATTTATGTAGTCACATATACAGATATCGAGAAGATCCAATTACATACTGCAATATCTTCCTTTATCAAGTCGATCGCACAGAATACCAGCCCATCCGCTTTGACATCTATATCATCATGGTTAAATAAATTTATAAAATTTAATGCTACTACTGTTCGAATCACTACAGATTAATAGTTAGTCTTTGGCCTTGTATGCTTTTATGTACGATATTAAGATATTTGTAACGTACCTGCACTCGTAAGGTTGGCTGCAAGTACCTTGCTTGCATCCGGTTCGACAAACAGCTGAATAGTAACGATATTAAATAAATAATTATGAATCTACATAAACTGAATAGATTACGAATCAACATTCATAAATTTAAAAAATGATAAACAGACCAGTTAACAGTGTTAAAAGCAAGATAGTAAATCGCAGTGATGCATTTTGCTATATAAAGCAATGATATCGAATGTACATAATTTGCCCAATTTTTTTGTAACATTTACGATCTTTTATATTAGTTAATTGTAATAAAATTTTGAATTGAGTTCCAGCCATTCTGTGTAAGCAATAATACTAATTTGTTATATTTTAATGTACAAATAAGAGAATGTATGCAAATACTAGCTAAATGCGCCTTCTGTTTTTCTAATAAAGTTATTACTTCTGATTTACGCCGTTGGCGCCTTAAAGAACTACAATAAGAGTACAATATAAAAAATATTACGTTGAGGAATACTCAAGCAAAGAAAGTAGCGCACTGTAAATTTCACAAGTATAATAACGCAAAGCATTGAATGTAGAAATTTTTAAAGATAGCTGAGGTTAACAATGAATAAATTATTAATTAGTTGTTTATTTTTTATCTATAGGAGGCTATTGTACCTTGATCGCATCGACTGCCCCGATAACCCAGTACACATCTATTCTCGATCGTGAGTCGCAAGCTAGCAAACAGGCCCCGTCCGGTTAGATCATACCTTTTGCCGCCTTCAATTCTAATAAATCGATACATGCGGATCAATGATGCTGTATTTAAGCGTTCGGCGTAGACACTTAGTTGGAAGAAGTAATCCTAGCCAAGAAATAACTCGAAGTTAATGTTGTCGTCTAGTATTGCATAGGTCACAAAAACGCTGCGAGATTTTTACCAGATAATTTATGCTTTCTTTACGAAATTACCAGGTCGTTAATCGATAAAAGTACACATACTATACTATTGCTAACAGATTCTGTATTCCTTTGCATAATTATAATTATCATATTGAAGTGTAAAGGATCATCAAATGCACATGTATTTGCACCAATTAGGTTGGCAAAAGGAATACTACAACATTGCATAAAACAATGTGGAATTCTACATACAGCACTATGCATTCATGCTGAATGATATATAAGCCATTCACATTACGTACTACGCTTATAAATTGCGAATAACTCCTATATTTATCTGTATATTCGTATACCATTCAATAAGTTAATTTTTCAATTCTTAAATGGTAAACAGGCCGATATTCATAGCAACTAATATATTACTAAGATATAATTTTAGATCATCACAGATTTATATTTATCTTAAAATATAAGTTCTATTTATGACAATATGATCAATAACAGGGAGCACTAATTTTTCGGCCTGTAATAAAGCTTTAGTAAACTATTCTATTCTACATTTATTTCTTGTCGTTAATATACAATATACCGTAGTCTTTGCTAGATACTGTAAATGTTATTACTATCTAGGCGCAGAGCTAATCTTGTCGACTGAGAAAAGTAAGCGAATTTTAATAAAAACTGAATTTCATTTTTTTTCTACGCTATTCAAACTGCTTCAATAGTTAATCTGACACCGAAGTATCGCACATAGTATACTACATTCAGGGCACACGTACTGCCAATGCCCGACATTATTTGCAGCCGCAAGTAAAAATTCTTTATAATCTAAATGTATAGCTTCTTGGATTATGTATAACAATGTACAGCAATTTGGCATTGTTTCGAGTAAAAAGAAATGAGTATCACGCTGTCATCAGTACTATACAGTATAAATCACAGGAGTGCGGAACTGTGAGTTATTATCTAATTTCCACAGTTTTATAAAATAGCTAATTAATTTAATTCATCTTACCGATTTAGTATCGACATTTTGTAATTTCATAATCGGCTGGTCCGGTGAAAAATTAATTTCTTCACCTCCGGCGATAGGTTTTCGGACTCTTGTACCAGCAACACATGAAAAGTCGTATAATTGTGTACTTAAGCACACATCAAATATGTAAGTGCAATTTCCTTTGGGTTGACATGTTCGTTGAAGGGCAATAACTTGATTCGGATTAGAAAATTTTACAAAATTAACCACTAATTCCATTCGGCTCTGCGCGGAGACATGCTAAAATCCATCGGGAACAAAAGGGAGGAAAATAATCTTTAGAAAGTCATCTTTGATGATAAATTTCAATCTATTAATGGTTAGACAAAATTAATGCCGGCACATATATAAAAAAAAGCTTAAATTCATTATATGCCAGCAGACTTTACGGCGGTTTAAATAAATGAAATTTTAAGAGTAAATTTAAAAGGTGATGCAATCGGGAACAAAGGGAACATGATTTTCAAAAATAGAACGACGATATAGACAATAGACGTTCACACAGAATAAAAAAATTTCGATGGGTTATATAATTTCCGTTAATGTAATAACGTTTGCCTTTCTGTTATTGAATTAGATATGAAATCTTTAATAATGCGGTTATTAAATCTCATGTTAACAAAAACTATTAATGAATGATTGTATCGATCTTTCATTTAACTTAATTATCGTCGATTGACGTAGACATTGGATCTTGTATTGTACGTAGAAATAGCATTCAAAGTTATTATTTCAAATTACCTTAACTGGCAAGCTTAATATCAGAGTAGACAATAGGAGGATAAGGAACTTCATTGTTTGATTACTATCTCAGTCTTGGAATCCAATATGAAAGTTTATCAGTCGATTCTAGATGATATTCTAGGTTACCTAGCAATAAAACGCAATCAGTTTCAGACAATGGCCAATTTATATAATAGTTTTTAAGGACCGCAGCTTAAGGATGAAATGATGTTTTTCTTTTAAGCGCTGTCACCTTTTTGATTTCTTGATCTGTAAATAATATCGTTACGATACTGTACTATATACAGTTATTTTAAGCAACAAAGTCAATAACCTCTAAATTTTTGTTTACATAGTATTTGATCACTGTTGTACTCTACGGTAGTTATTCCGTCATTTATAGTTGTGGCGTCATAAACGTACGCACAACTCGTAACATGAAATTGATTACTAATAGAAAATTTATGGATTTCTGATAGGTCACAGTACTCGATGTTATCTTATAATTAATTCTTAGTATAAACAGTGGTTGAGTTGGAAATCCTTGCGTTTAGCGTATAGAAAGAGTACTATAAGGAAAATATGATACGATAATGTCTATTCTGGTACAAGGTCTAATCAGTCAATCGGCGCGAAGGAACTAAACGTATCAGCGGGCGTGTAACAAGTTTCATGAAGTCAAATGTCCCTCAAAATTTAAAAGTCATAAGTCACTTGATATCAGCAAATCAGCTGGATAGAGTGTCATCATGATCTGCCACCATACGTACTGTACACTGTACAGTACAGTACAGTACAGTATTACGGCACCTCTAAATTAAGATTGTACGTACAGTACACTGAGTTATAGAAATTACTAGTAATTTCTAGTAGTCTATGACTCAGTCTATGAACGAGAGCTTTTTAAAAATTTCAAGTTTCTAATGCAAAAATAGAGTCAAAATTTAGGCGGTAATCACAGCGACACATTTATACAGTATTGCACATACCCTAACTAGAAAGTGATGACGACAATAGACTAAATCATACTGTGCTGTAGTTCGACCTATTTCATATCCCTATTCGTAGGCCGAAAAATTCAATTCGCGCACACGATGATAGTTACTTGGCCTGTTGAATCACTATCAACAGACTCTTTTTTTTGTCCCTAATCGCAACATGTGTCATCGTTATAAAATTTACCATCCAATGTTTCTAATAAATTAATCAGTGTGGGCGGTTTCCACATATGGAATCATCAAATCCAAAGCTGACGACTACAGCAATCAATCGTGTGTTATTATTTATTTTTTATTTATTTTCATACAGTCATTTAATAGTATAATAATGAGAATTCTAAAGCTGATATACGTTCTCCACATTTCAACATGTCGATAAGAAGGAATTTTACTCCACTGATAACAACGAAACGTTGTTCAATTCGTCTTGCTAATCCAATAAGCAGCAAGCGCGCGTTTTATATCAGGGATCATCTAGTCGTTAATCTTTCAATGAACTTTGTCAACATACGTGTTTTACATACTCGACATACCGTTCGTATCCTTTGTTTACTAATTTCGCGGGATACTTACGTAACGTACTTCCTACCAGTGACCACACTATGGTCATGCAGTACCATATAACGTAGGGCTAGGTAGGACATAATTACTGTACGCAGTGTACGGTACTGTCAATGTGGTCGTGACTCAGTGAGTAGGCGTGCCCAATGACCACATATACTCAGTGTATGTACAGTATATATACAGGCTAATACAGCACAGTACATACTTTACTTTACAGTAAGTGAACTGCAACTGGTTTGACTCAACCGTGCCATTAATTATACTGTACTGTATGTTAATTTGAAGTTCTTTGTAAAAAAAGCTGCTAGAGTACTATACTCTATAATCAATCACATTATACCATACTGTACATAGAGAAATTGATGACTGTGAAAGTGAGAATTTTTTCCATGCTTGGCCAAAATAAAAGTGCTTGATACTCCATACCCTTCAATCTTTTAGACACTGTCACATAGTTGCTGCCAAAGAGTACACATTTAAATCCTCTATTTTGCAAGCATAATTCATCTTTTTAGATTTAATACAGTATCTGTACATACTGTACGTTGTGTCTTTAGTGTTTGGCCAACTGAATAATCGGTCAAGTCAATGAAGTGTATATTGGATTATTGGCACGCAACGGTAAACAATTTGCTTTCACCATAGCTGCATGTACGCGTACAATATGTATCGCCCGGTCATCTTTCAACATTTGCAGCTTTCAAAAACAACTAAAAAGTAGAATATCTTTCTATGCCATAAAATTTTCAACATCTAAAGCTAAATAGTATAGGTAAAAATAGACTATACGCGGGATAAATCAATATACCAGTAGAAGAAGAATTGCGCTGAATGGCACAATTACACCCTTCTAACCCTCAACTCCACTACTGTATTAGGGTAGTATACAGTACTGTACTATATCATACGGTGCTTGGACTACTGTTGGCTGGCGGGTTCTCTTTGTACCGTATTGCACTTAGCCACTGTTTGAAGCAAGCCGGCGGTATAACAATTACAACAATAATAATAATAATAATTATAATAATAATAATAAACGCAAAGAAATGTTTAGTTCACTATGTTTTAGTATAAAATAAGCCTTCTTCAAAAATCCAATGAAATGTGTTAAAGGATAAATCAAAGTTAGCTTATACTGCAATTAATTCCGTGAATCCACTATCACTACAGAAGACAAGAAAAAAATGTCTTGAAGCGTATCACTATTTACTGAAACAGATACATTAACCAATTTGACGTTTGGCGCCGTATACAGCAGTCAATTTTTTAATACGCGCATTGATAAAAAAGGTAGGCCTAAAATGTGCTACCCTACAAAGCAATAGGGAAATAAATAAAAACAAAATAAATTAAAATATTTTTTACCTTGATATAAATTTCAATCAATGTATCTCGATCTGTCAAACTTGCTTGAGTCAAGCCACAAGGAATTCAACAGAAATGATATCTGAAAGAGTGCGGAATAAGGCCAAGAAGAAAAAACGCCTTAGGAAAAGTTCATGAAAAATTAAAGTGTTGTCGTTTCTGCGATTTTACTAATTAACCACAGATTGTTACTATGCCGAAAATAAAATAGAGAATGAATTAGATTGGACTATAAATAGTACGACCGTCTCCGTACGGTACGGAAGCGTCTCGGCTTCACGTTGAATGGCTATTGTTTCGTTAATTGTACGTATACAGTACAGTACAGTACAGTACTGTACAATCTTTAATGTTCGCTAGCATACACTACTATGTACCGTGCACTACGGTACTAGACTTAGTAGGCCGGTGGTGGACGGTTCTGTAATCGTAGTAAAATACCACGTGCACGTGGGTGTCGTAAATACTGGACGAGTTATACGATTCACTAGTTCAGAAGAGATTCGGCATTGACAGCTTCCCTTACTCTCACTCACTTAGGCGGAAATGGCGTTTTGCGCATGATGCTTTACCTGCACAGGATTGATTTGTTTACTAACAGTCTGTTGCGAATTTGCGATAGTCGCAGATCGTACAGTACAGACTGTACAGTGACAAGTACTGAATTCATCAGACTGAGTACAGTACTGTACAGTACTGTTTTAGGTAGTATTTAACCGGGTCATTTCCTTGAAGTGGTCAGTATTGTACTGTACATTTAGTGTACAACTTGATCCTTTTTTTTTACAGTTAGTTCTAAGAGAAAGAAATAACAGCTTGAACACCTTAAATTAAAAAGCTGAAAAGGCAGCAACGTAGTTTAACTATGGTTTACTGTGCCATACAACATAGCACTAGAAAAAGCTGAAGAGTAAAGACGTTTACAAAAATTGATAAACGAGTAGTTTCTAGCTATCTTAAACACTGTACACTGTACAGTACTTGACCAGAGTGTGAATACTGAGCGTCAAAAGTCAACGGTACGAAATCTGTATTTTACATGGCGATTTGCCATACTGAAGTACTAACCAATACGTGACAGTATAGGGCGTATGGAAAGTCATTTGCGATTCGTAAGTCAAATACCACCAAATTCGCCAATGACTTTTCACACAATTTTACTGTAATCGTATGTATATTGTATAATTGTATGTTGTATTGAGTTATTCTATATACATAGAATAGAATTAGCAATCAGATTATTTCGGTTAGACAGTATACTATACTGTATACATTATTCCATTTATACTAGATGCCTACTAGACACAATAGTATAGCACGACCGAGAACAACAACAACCGTTGTAGTCAACGCCTATTTACCAGTATGAATAAAATTTGCAACTCCTTAAAGACCACAGGTAGTAATCTCTCGGCATTAGTTTCTTCATTACAGTACAAAGTTATGCTTTAGAGCGCTTAAAAAGAAACAAAGTCAAAAACAAAATATAACGACGTTTATGGTTAGCTCTTTTAGCAATACACGGTATAAATTGGAAAAGGAATCTCAAGTAGCGATAGCCGGTTTTACAAGCCAGCAGATTAAATAGGGTTCTCCATTTCTAAAATCGTGTACAGTACACATGTAAACTGCATAGATCACTAATTACGCTAACTTGAAGTCGACAATTTTTTTTATTTTTCGGACAAAAGCTGCACGCTGCATGCCCGAAAGACAGTGCTAAAAACAGTACAATATGACAACCACCCGCTGACTGTCCTCTGGGCAACGCATGTTGTACTGTATATACTCGGAACTGGCTACATGATGCACATAAAATTACAGTAAAGTGATCCATTCTAATGGAATCACAGTACGGTTTATTAATACGATTACTGCTTTATATTACCGTCCATACAACTATCTAGAATTCTTCCGATTTGCGATTTGAACAAGGAAATCTTGCAAACAAACCCGTCTAGTTTAAAGGAAATAGCACAACTAGCATATAATATAAACACTATCATCGCGGAATAAAAGCTGCCGTAGGCAGGCATAATGAACAGTCTACAAACGAAAGATTGACAGTATTGTGCCTATTATAGAATTTATTTTCGTAAAAGGAGAAATAAAGACCAACAACGCAGTCATGCGGTTATATTAAATCCTTGAATTGAACCTTCTATAAAAGTAAAATACCACGTAACTATCACATTGGTAAAAACGAGTAGACCCACAGCTCATGATACTTCGCGCACTTGTTTATTGACAGTGAGGGGAATATTTCAGTATATGGATACTCTACTACCAGCTTTTAGTAGCTATTGCTTACTACTTGATATCAACTTATTGTACAGCAAGCTATAGTAAATTCATAAAAAAATTTTTCAATTCCTACCGAATTTAGATACAGTTACATACGTCTAGGAGTGATACTAAGATTTGAATTAGAAAAATTAATATTTAAACGTGGGTATCAATTAATTCTATATCAAATTATACCCGTATTTTGCATTGTATGCAACAGTTTAAAATTATCTAGTGTTCGAGATATACTAAATATACAGTATGTGCGTAAGAGTAAGTAGCATATAATTAGAACTATAATTATATACTATATCTACAGTACGTACTTTCTATGAGTGTACAGTAATATAATTTGTATTGCACAATTTATATCAGCTGAAGTAGCCAGTTTGCTAGATTTTGCATTTATCATCGTGGCTAGATCAGGGATTTTAAGACGTCCCTGGATAGATGAAGACTACGATCCCTTAACAATTATTTTCTATATTCTACCATATAATGAAATAGAACACAAATTTTGTTACGTAATCTTTTAATCCTTAAAATAATATACAACACGGTACTTTCGTATAGTACACGTCTATACTTGTGATGAATTTTCGCCGATGTCGTAGGCAAGAACTTTGATTTCTCCCTAAACTTCGCGTAAATACAAGGAATAGTTTTCAACCGATGGGCACTTACAAGATAAAATCTTACAGTCTAATTTACAAACGAGATCCTTTTCGGGCTATAGTACAAATTAAATTTTAATTCATAGTTTCATTCTATCTTGATCTCTGTACTCCAACTGACGTCAGGCACCTCCTAGGCTGAAGAGATTTTCGATAGGCGCTGGGTAATACTTGAGGCGGGCCCTAAGAATTTGCACTTCTCTCCCTCCTGACTGAAAGGAACAGTTAATTACTAAAATCTACGTGTGCACGGCTAACAGACTAAATCATATGAAAGAAGTGTCGGCATAATCAATCCCTATTTAGACAACCGAAATTGGTTATTAAATTATTTGTAGATTAAAAGATCAATTTGCTTAATTATAATTACCACCTTAATCAATGATGACTCAACAGGTTTCAAGGCTTTTATTTATTCTTTGTCTTGTACTTATACAGGTAAGATAGTAATTTAATTTAATAAAGTTTTTATTAGTGCAAGTACCATCGACATCTTTAGTTTTATGTGAATACAAGGGCCTGAAACAGGCTCATAATATTTAATTTTTTATTTTTTTCCAATCCCTTCTCATGAGATAGCTTATAAATGAACCTCTATATTTCTGTTGGAAATCTATTAGATAATAATGTCCTAGGAGTATTATGTACTACCATTATCAAAATTGAAGATAATTCGTTAAAAAGATCTATTGTGATACATACAGAAAGAAGTTTCAATTTCAATTACTAATCTTGACGCGTTAAACAGTAAGAAGACCCTCGAACGCGTCAGTTCTCTACGTGTTACCACCAATCCTTCTGTACATTGCCATTGTGCCATCATTTATATAATTTTTCTTACTTCTCTGTATACTGGTAAATGCTCTTTTCTGAAGTATAAAAAAAATACTGAATACTAATAATTAGTTTGTTATTTGCCTATTATAACTACCGTATTAGTCTATTTCACTATCAAAGGAAGGCAAAATAATCATAAGTTGCTGAAAAAAAACGATTATTTATCGTATATTTTACTTGAACCCTTGAGTATTTAAAATATGCATGACCTACATTATTGTGATATCGATACATATACTTATATAGCTTATGAATGTGATAGTAGTAGCTGATCTTAACATTTTGGTACCCTACTAATAGTGTAGTAACACTTTTTAAGGAAAATCATTTTGAAATGGCCATAAAAACAAGAGCAGCTTTGATTTAAATTATATCGAAACATTCATTTTTTCGTAGAACCCGTACATTGTAGATGTTGATATCTGTCTTAGCCATACAGAACTGACACAGATTTTACTTTAAACGTTGACTGTAATATTTTAGAGTGATATTAATAAATAAATTATCATTATATCAACCATTATAAATGTCTTCAGCGTATGTAGAAAATATCCCCAATACCACATTTACAGGATTCTAGTAACGACTTCAAATTTTGAACGGAGCGACTAGGATAGGTTTTAGACTGATGTTAAAAATAACAGCAATGATCGGTTGGTGCATGCATTCACGAAATTCGTAATATAAATGCTGAACAATTTATATCCACCGGGAAATACTGAAGTTGATTAGCGTATAGATAGAACTAATTTATTGTAATTGATTAATGGATTAAGACGATATCGATTAATAGATAAATAAATGTCATTAATGATTTAAGAATTTATTCGATCTTAATCTCATTTTATAATTTGAATGTAGTTAGTTAGTACTATAATTTTAAGGAGAAGAAAATTCATTGCATATACGGTGGTATTCTAACTAGCGAATTTTTCAAATCTGTAACGCTGTTCTAATCTGTATCTCCCTTACTATCACGGGCTAAGGTGGCAAATTTATATGCGAATCAAGCCAAGATTACCTTAACGATGGTTCAGTACCGTAATCCTAATCAACATCTTTACACCGGGAGTAAATGTGAATTACTATCTGGCTGCGACTACATTTTTAAAATCGATATTGGAACTGTCTCTAGCAAGTCTAGATATTTTCAAATGAGATCAAATACATTGGAAGGACGTGATATATTAATATTTACATCTGGCCAAGATTTAGCTCCTGGTATTAAAAATCCTATCTTGGTTAACTTGCAAACACCTCTACCGGTATAGATTTAGTCAAAGAACCTTAAATTATACTAATAACCAAATTCACTAACCTTAGTACAGGCCCTGATCTATATTACAAACATATTAAAATTAGTTATAAAATATTAAAATAGTCGATCTTATCTATAGAATGAGAGGCTTCAAATCTCTATTGTGGTTGAACATGATGAATATAACGGGAAATACAGCTTAGTCGATAACCTAAAATATGAGTCGGATGTTAATTCTGGAACTAATAATAATGGAATCGTTATTTTGGGTGAAAGAACAGCTACTGCTAAGACGGAATTAACAGTAGATTTAAAGATAGAATGTACTGAAGGTTGGCAAGATAGCAAATGTGATAAAGGTAATTATAGTATTTTTCCTACCGATTCAAATATTGTAGCATGCCAAAGCAATTTTATCGCATCTATTTTTCTGATTATTAATTTTTATTTTTCCAAAAAATTGAGATTATCATAACGTTCGTCATCGTCTTTACTTAAAATTATAATATATTTGTCGCTAGAATCAAATCCATAATTAAGTTAACGCGACCTAAACGGTTCGAAAGAATGAATTTTTCGCTTATCGTCTCGGCGATAACTAATTTTAAATGAAAAGCTAGCATATTTTAACAAGACATTAGCTGATAACATAAGAACGATGAACGAGCATTAAGATAACTTGTGATTAAATTTTAGTATCTAAAGACATTTTTGTTTATAATTAATTACACTGCAGTAGAATCATTCTATTAAATTTACTTATGCATACCCATTGCAGCTTTATCTATTAGATGATTAATACTAAATCGTCAATTATATCTGCTTCAACACGGATAGTGCCCTCAGTATTGTAATTTGTTAAAAATTCTGCTTTAGTCCCAATCTGAACGGATTATCGATGCATTTATTGATTATATATACATTGTGAGTTTTATTTCTCGGATCTTATTTGTTCATTTTAGAAATTCCCTTAGTTTTTGAAGCTCTTAGTATTATTTTTGATCCTCACATCACATAGCTTGTTAAATCTTATATTCTTAACATACCTTTAACTATTTAGCCAGAATCATGGCAAAAGAGATTAAGAAGTAAACTACTTAAATTGGTTCTTTATCAATGCAAATTGCTGAGGTCAAATTTTTAACGTCCAGATCTATGGTGATGTTCGATAATCATCCATAATCAAGGCAGAAAATTAGGATTGATAATTTAAGAAAATCCTGTACTTTTACAGTATAGGTATAGGGCACTGTAAATACTGTTACGTTAGCATTTTCATCCTTCATTAATATTGGTATCACAACTTACACTACAAGTATTTCATTCACCGAACGATTGAAAAGGGATAGAGATAATGATTAAACGTTCATGATCTGTAGTGAAATAAAATTTATTTCTGATTTAATCAGAGATTAAAATCAAATTAGTATCATTTTGTGTTTTAGATTTTTTAGTGTACTATTGAGATATAGAGGAAATTCTTATAGTTTTCAATATTTGCTCATTAAATGTTATTTTATGAAATACAGCAATTTGCAGTACTGGATGTAGTCCAATTCATGGGACTTGCAAAAATTCTCCGAATACTTGCAGGTATATTAATCAAGGCTAAGTTCACAATTTTTTCCAGTTTACTAAAGTAAAGCCAAGTAAATGTTTAACAATTAATTGGAATATAACAGTAGGCCATTGGACTAGAAGATTGTTATTATATATAGTTCATAAAGAAGTATCATTTTAGCCATTTTACGAATATCCATAAAATATACTTCCGTTACTAAACTTTGATACAAACACATATCACGTTTATCAGTGTAGAACTAATTTCTGAAATGTATGTATCTCTGTGTTATAGCTGTAATAGCGGTTGGACAGGATCAACCTGTGAAACTTGTCTCAAGCGAACTGACTGTGGTAAGGTGCTATAGAAATAAAATAGAGGCTGTCAGGATAACAAGTTTATTTACAGTTAAAGTATACCCTAATAAAGTGTTAGCGGTTATAAAGCATTCCATGCTTAAACCCAAATTAGTTTTAAAGTCATTTTTTCGTTCTATATCGGTTTAGTAAATGGTAATTGTCAACAGGGAAATGATTGTGTATGTATATCAGGTTGGCATGGCTCTTTGTGCAATATAGGTGAGATTATTTCCGTATTCTAAAATGAGCCATTACGTAGTGCAAATGGTAATGCGTAATTCTTTTGTTTATACGTTTGCTTAATCTATGATCGTTTTCGTTATCAATTGCAGCCAATTGCTCGACAGAATGTCAGCGACATGGGCGTTGCATGGAACCTAATCGTTGCATGTAAGTTGCAAAATCTTTATTTAAGGAGAAGAGATGCTGATACAATTTAGGATTAAAGAAATTTAATACCTTTTACTGAAGACAATTATGACTCCTGCCATTTTTAAACTCACGCTTTATTACTGGCCTAATTCGTAATGGACTACACGATATTAAGAATTTTATTCTATTCTGATTATATTACAGCTTAAAGATTATAATAGTATGCGAGAACAATATGGCAGTTATCATCACAATAATGCTTAGTATTTATTGCTGTATGTGGAATGATAGTAAATTAGACGCAATATTACAATGCTTACTTACTGTATGCATGCTAATAACAAACATATAGCTATCGATACGCTAAGAAATATAATATTTCGTACCAGAAACCACGCACTATTTTCGCTTCGAGTCATAATTAAATCGAAACTACCATTGAAATCATTCTTACTCGGTTGATTTCTTTAGCTGTTATCTAGGATGGACTGGGAATAACTGTGATACCTGTTTGAAAAGAAGTGGATGTTCCGGTGAATTAATACGTTCCTGTCTTTTACATTTAATGCCATACTGATGTTTTATTGAATTTCAGTAATTAATAAGGAAAATATCTAATGCAGCTGTAAAAGTATCTCAAATTTAATTTTGATATATTCGTAGAAGAATACGACGTTAATATTTCAACTACTCAATAGTGTCATTCGTACAGCAGATATAGGTGCCTTTAACTACTTTAAATTTAGTACAGTGATATCTGGTATCATCCTGTTTGTCTCATATCTTCTTTCAATAATAATTAATACCATAATTTAACAATATTATCAGAAAATGGATATTGTGTGAATGGGGATGATTGCGTTTGCAATGAAGGTTGGGATGGTTCAAATTGTGACCGAGGTAATAATCAGATACGTACCAGTATTTGTTTATCTAATATTACACTTGTTTTCATCAACGAATATAATCTTGAATGCCGTTTGGTATGCTATACCAGATCATTTATATGCTACCTCCCTTACCTAAACTTTATAATCAATGTTCACATAGCGCTTCGAAACGTCCTAATAAATAATTTATAATTTGATTATAGATTTACATCCGTGTGCTAACCCGAGTCAGTGCGCAAATGGAGGTACTTGCATAAGGCTAGGAACAAGTCAATTTCAATGCAATTGTATGGCCCAATTTACTGGTAGCCGATGTGAATATCGTAAGCACAACCGTATTCTATATGGCTTTCGCTTAATGTAATTGCAATTAGACAATTTTACACCATGCCAGGGAAATAATTGAGTATCAGTATTCTATTGCTAAGACAAGTAAATTTTTAATCTGAATTTATAGTAAAGGTAATTACATCAAGTACTACTGCTCCTATACGAACAATATCTAATCCACAGCTAACATCCACCGTAACACCGACAGCTGAGCAAATTAGCACAGGTAGTTACTTGATAATGGAATAGCAATTGAAAAATTAGTTCTTAGGATTTAACTTACAATTTCAAAAACTGGCATTTAATTTTTATTGTATATTATCTACCGTTGGATCAAATCAGGAAAAATTACAGAAATAATCTCCACAGCTTATTCAACAATTACCAGTACTTCCGTTAGGTCCACGAAAATTGAAACGACTAGCTCAATGAGGACTACCATCGTAACGAATTCTTTGCAATCTGCTACAAAAACTACTGAAAGATATGAAACAGCTATTACATCAGCATTTATTTCAACAACGCTTACTCAAACATCATCTACTTTAACCATGTTCACTTCAATACCATCTACTTCAGACATATTTACTCCAACATTATCTACTTCAGCCATGTTTACTTCAGCTTCATCTATATCAACCATATCTACCCCAGCTACACTAACCCCAACATCATTTATTTCAACAACTCAAGCAGTAGTTGATTCTACAATCTCGAAAAGCCCGACAGTATTTACTCCAACATCATCTACTTCAACTCAAACAGTATTTATTTCAACATCTAAGAACCCAACAACATTTACTTCAACCACTCGAGTAGGTACTACTGTATCTACAACTACTGGGGGATTGCCATCACAGCCTCAGATAATTGGTATAATAGAAGGTGATGATCATTTAAATATTTCGTGGTCAGCATCTACCAGTACTACAAACGACTTGATCATGTACTATATCCGATACGAAATACGAACTGGCAAAGATGAAGATAGTTCGTGCCCAAACTGCCGAAGTACACCAAAGGTATCTCGATTGTACCATTTACTTGATGGGCTACCTGGAAATACGCCTTATAGGCTTAAGGTTATCGCGGAGAACAGCGTAGGAGATAGCCAGAGTCAATTCAGATTTGCTAGAACTAAAGGTTTGTTTTCTAACATAGTCGTTATAACTTATATTGTTTTATATGCTAAGCTCGTATGCAGTAATTCACATTATGTACGAATTATACGATTGCGTACAGTTTAATTTTAGTGCCTAGTCCTTATAATCATTAGAGTGTATCTTATCTTTTGATTATTGCAATTTCTATGTATTAATTATACAAGGCAATGGGACCCCAGGAGGAATTTCAGGTGGCACTTATGGAGCCATTGCAGGAGTAATTGGAGTATGTATCTTAATAACAGGAATTATCATTGCATATATCAAATTACGTAAAAAACCAGGTGAGCAACGCTATTGTAAGACATAAGTGGCATATTATTATGATTATGGCAGGATTTTGCCAATTTCTACGATTAAAGTCTGAATATTTAATCGATCAACAAATACATAAAAATGTAACAGCGGTCAGATATAAATTAACTGAAACTGTTTAATTAAACTTGCTTATATTTGCAGCGGATGACCACCGCAGGATAGAAGATCATCTGTACGACCAAGTTTACGAGTTTACTACGGCATCATCGCAAGTGAGATATGGTTAAAACTAGATCCGCATTTACATACTTAGAAGATTTATACTTGTAATGCCGCATTAAAGTAATAGTATTTACGATGTAGTTTGATATATGATTTAGTCCGATAAATTATCTAGGAACTTAGCCTATTATCATACTACACTCTCATGAGCGGATATATAATCATTAAGTATATATTTAATGATCTATATTGTATTTAACGACGAAATTAATTTGTAATGACAGCTTACTTGAGTTCAAAAGAGACTATATAGTGAAATAAATAGATTATAGTAAATTCTGCGATAAGAGTGCATATATTTATTCTAGTACGTCGTCATATTTACCTCGCGATATTTTAGATCTGCGGACTAGATCTTGCCTTGATTCCTTATTATTCATGACAGTTATTTACTTTAATTGATTTGTCAATATCTTTATGGCATGATTGAATTGGGAGGACGGAGCGCTCATGTACAATAATTACTTTTGAGCGATAAAAAATAATATAACCATCATGTTACATTTGATGGAGAGGAAGTATTTTCTTAAACATTTTGTAGCTGATCTATGTGATGACTACATTATCAATTGCTTTTGAGGTGGAAATGCTTAGCCTCGGCGAAAGTGAATATTTTACAAGTGTTGTAGGTTATGGGAATCTGGTTTGAAATGAAGTCGATATTTTATGCGTTAAAAATTGGAAATAAATGTTACTATAGAATAGAGTTGTGCGTATTTCTCCTATAACGAAGAATTTACTATCGTTAGTATCTTAGTTCTACACAATTGCAATATATTATGTTGGATATATTTTATTGAATCATTTTAAAAATTTAATAATTAGTGTACGTGTGCTGGAAAGGTTTTCAAGTAACTGCCAACCACGAGTAAGTGTATTTAGCATTGATAATACAGCTACTACACTAACTCAGCAAAGCGACGGGAGTTTGCACTAGTAATACATGATACAAGAAAGAATGTTAACAATATGAAATTAAAACTGTCATGATACCAGATCTAAAAAAAGTATTAAAAAGTGCTGCGATACTGTAACATCATCAGTGGTGATTCCGTTGTTAAAAAGTCTGGCAAGAATAGTGTACACGAGATAGCGATCATGCAACACTGCTTACAATTATAAAGTACTTTTACCAACTATGGTCACAGAAATGCTATGGGTCGTTTAATTATCCTTTAATACTACAAATATATATTGACTGTACCATAATGTTGCAATGATCAGGGACTAAATGCGGTAAAGGATCAAACATGAACTACTCAATACCTATCGTTTGCAGAGACTACTAATGTTGCTGTAAAAATGATGAATTCAAAGTCTGGTAACAATAGGCCAAGACTTTAATTCCTTGCTAAACTTTATTTTATCACCTAAATCAGTTCATCTTGCCAGGGATTATGCCATCTTACGATCTAATCTACAAACATAATCTATTTCGGGAGTATACTATAAACCCATACCATGGATTTTTAGATTTAAAAGTCCATATCCATACGTTTATCATAACATACTGATGCAAAATAGCCCTTGCGAATGAATAAATGAGTTGTGCCATTGATCGTCATACTGGTGTGCACTCACTGTGCAGTACACTGTTATAAAACATACTCTGCGAACATTATACAGTATTATCCGAAAGATTTTACGTTGCTAAAACTAAGAACCACTAGAAGAACACCGAAGTGGTCCATGCTAAAATAAAGTTCGGAAAAGTTAGGTATAACCACGAAGAAAAGGCTACCAAAAATTGTTTTTGGTATTTCTCTCACCTCGGTCAACTACTAGATCCATACGTACAGTACAGTACTAAACCATATACTGTTACTCGAGATACACATGGCTCAAGCCGCTCAACCACATTCAACTGGTAACCTTCGAATACAGATGCACCGAAGTACGGACACTAGTCGAGTACAGTGCAATGTACTGTACTGTACAGTACAGTATGTACCCTTGCTGCGGGCATTGTATTGTATTGTACTGCACTGCAATACTTGTGACAGTTTGTTTATTATTATTTATTTATTTATTATTTTCAAGTTTACTCATGTTTACTTTTAATTTGTAACAACATATTTTTAATTCCAAAATACAGAGAAATATTTGTTGTGAAGATAATGACTGGTACAATACTGTGCAATAATGAACCAATCAATTCATTATTGGGTGTACTGTACTGTAAACTGAAGGTATGCAGAATAAAGGAAGAGTAATCCCACGAGATTTTGAACTGCCAAAATGGGAAACATAATTTTATATTGATTAGAAATAAATGGGACATTCCTGATAGATTGTCAAGTGCTTGGCACTTTTTGGTAGCAACAATCATTCGATTATTTGAACAATGGGCAAGATATTTGGAAAGAACTATTTCAATTTGGAATGTTTACTCATTATTGGATTATTGATAAAATTTGATGAGTAATGGCGGGATTATTCGGTAATGAATCGATGGTTTACTGTACTGTAGTTTCGTAGCACTATCAGTTATAGAAAGGACAGCACGAGTACAATACAAAAGTGAAGAATATAAAAATGAGAGTACATTAGTATCATCTACGATAAATTGAATTTTATTTTAATTAGGGACTACTCAAGAAGAAATTACTTTTCAAGCCACTTGGAGTGGGTATTTTTTCTTAGGAAATGTAATGTTTTCTTGAGTAGTCTCGATGCCTGTCAAAGCAAGTAATTAATGAAGCTTTCCTTGATCGATGGGACAGTACTGTACACTGTACTGTGTAATGATAGATTAATAAATGATGATTCATCGTGTAATAAACAATATGCTTATTTACTATGAATTGATAATAGTGAATAACTCAAATGCCTGATATACGTTGCATTGTGGCGGGTACTAATTCTTTTCCCAAACAACGCATAGTTCAAATTTTTCAATGAATTCATCGATTTTGCTTGGAGCATTATGTTATTAAAGTTGCATTAATATGTTTGACAGTTCACCTGCAATCTGCTTCGCTACAGCAATTTAAAATGAAGAGATCTGAAAATCCGTCAAGTTTACAATCAAAATTTATTCTTTGGATCTCTATTCACTTTCATTTGCAATAATACTCGGAGACTTATCATAAATCCGTATAGACGACAGTGTTGGTGATTTGCTTATTACTGCGCTTATGAATTACTTTAAGAGCGCTGTCAGAAATGGATCTTGATAGATGAGAACGGTTGCATTGTCTTGAGTACTTCAGCTAATGAAATGAATTAAACGGCTATAAGAGTATGCTGACTATGGGCTATACTATTATTTTTAATCAGTGATTTTAGAAGGAAAACTGTAGCCAGGCCTGTATAGACTAGAAGAGTACTTTATTATAAAAATATCACAACTTTAACGTACACAATATGAACTTATGACTTATGTACATGAACCTAATCTGTTGTAAACAGAAATAAGGAACCAACAATTTATGATTGATAATAATATCATACTTAATAGAGAGTTAGTTTTCATAAAATAAGGAATAAAGTATAGCAATACATTAATTTAACCATAATTTTGATGCAATTCATATGTATAATTGCTCGTATCATATCTAAGCTAAGCATGTTTAGTAAATAATAATGAGATTTTTCACGCAATACGTAAGAAAATTGCGTCGATATCGCTTGCAACTTGATATCAATTAATTATACGGCAAGCTATAGTAAATTCACAATTAACTTTACGATCCATGCTGGGTTTAGGTACAATGACACATATTTGTGAGTTTTAGTAGCATTACATCTAAAATATGACTACGTAATCCAGTTGAAAACACTTAAAGCCTTACATCAATGATTGATTTGGAATCGTAAATTATATTTATTATCAAACTCGTATTTGCTATCATGGTTTTCAAATCTATTTCAAAACTACGAGTATCTCAAGTACAATACAATCCATACGCTAACACTGTATTTCCTACATTTAAGGTTATGATTTATATCGCTTAAAATTTGCATTAAATAGCGTAGCAAATTTGGAAACTTTTCTATAGCATTATATCTTAATTTCACGAACTTTATTGATGTATCAGACAATATAAATTCTGTTGACCTATTCGATAGGAAATAATACTTGATAGCTTTTCAATCAATTAAAATTTTTATTGGATACCGTGCCGTATTACTCAAATTATCAATATATAACGCTTAGAAGTTATCATTATTTGTAATAAGTTCATGTAGAGATAAAATCCTGAGTTAATTTTCTAAATATGAGTCGAAACCTTTTCTGCCTTTAGTCGATAATATAAATTCACTATCACAATAGCGTATTTAATTAAATAGGACAACTTTTATTATTTCGTTATGAAATTAGGTACGGTATGTGCGCTCTTACTTTGGCAACTAATATTGCATAATTTTTCATTAGAACATTGATACCAGCGTTCTTTCTATTACAGTTGCTGATATATAGTATCGATACGGATAAAGACGAATGAAACGGTTGGAGGAGCTTGAGTAATAGTACGGTAACTATTTTATTTATTTACAGACATAGATTCTAATACTACTTATAACATATGGCTAAGTATCCAGATATTATAAATTTGTGTTGTTTCACTGATATTTACTCCTATGCTTAACTCGGGATGATACGCGTTCGAAACAATTATAATGTGCGCGGCGTTACAACATAGCAAATTTTTCTTCATTGTATGCACGGACGTATTACAGTATTATGGCGCATTAAGCTTTTTCTGTTTTCATACTTTGTACTATTTTTATTATATTTCGGGCTTTTTATTCAGTTACAGTTCTTTGGCCAACAGCTATAGTGTGTGCTTAAACCCTAGAAATGTCACTACGTGGTTAATATCTCCACTATTGAGTGAAATGCCTACCAGTAAGATATTTCTTTCAGTCAATTCTTCTTCAGCTTGCTTTCTTCGGGTATGTACACGGATATTAAAATTGAATTACTTACCGAACTGAAATTTTGAAAATGTAAGCAAGTTTTCAGGTTATTCTAGCATTTTTTTCTTAGTATCGGTCATAGCTCGCTAGCGCTGTATCTGAGTTTTTGTAAAAATGTCAGTTTATTCCATTTGATTATTGCGCGACTAAATGAAATGTTATGTTTACAGGTATCTTATTCAGGTATACATTAGATGATAAATGTCTCTTGCATTAATAAATGATATATATACAATCCTTGTTAGATGTCCTAGATTAACGAACCAGTGACATTTTCTATTACGCTACTAAGAAACGGTATTTACTTACTTATACTTTATTTTAATAATTATATTGTATTGTACGATGTAATCATTGGTTATATTCAAAATAATAATTTCAGACAGATGCATAGAATAAATTCGGTGATGGTCCAATTGCTTCTACCAGAGTTACGACATACAACGTTATTACTACATCACGAGCTACTGCCTTATTAGCGACTGCTTCATCGCGAGTTACTACTCATCCACAAGTTACTTCGTCACGAGTTACTCCACCATAACGAATTTCGGACGGTCTTATTGGAGCTATTGGGGGAGTAATTGAAAGAAGTCTTGTACAGATAGTGATAATCTTTATATTTCTACAGTTCGGTAGAAAGCAAGGTATGAAATACTTTTATAAGATATAAATTATATGCGGATACTGCCATATTTATTGATTACAGTAATAATTTGTCATTTTCTATGATTAAATACAAATATTATTCGACAAAGAAGATATAAAAATGTAATGGTATTTGAATATCTATTCCTTGAATTATTAACGTAACATATTATTTCAAAATTTAAATGTTTATTACGGTAGATCTTCAATATCTGAACATGATAGTATAATTCATATTCTAACGTGCTATTGTGTGAAATAAATTCACATACTCGTCATTTTAATCACAACCCTGACAGATTATTGTTCATTTAAATTATTCAGCTACAGATCGACAAACATACGGGGTAGTTCTGCCAGTATGCATTTCCGGAATGGTGCAGTAATGTGGAAATCGGTAGTATAAATAACCGTTAAGAAAATTATAGGAAAGTACTGGAGTATATTATACGGTTGATCGAGATTCTAGCACTCTGCTTGACGGATTCCATCACTGGTACTGTATACTATGGATTAGAGTTTAACTTATAGTAAACACAGTTGATGATACTGTAGTAACTCTGTGGATCTTTAGAAGTGCGTTTAGGTAGTTATGAATGATTAGAACCTTGGAGTTCTGGTGAGTTATAACGAAGCACAGTACAGATATAGGATAATATGAATACCATGATGAATACCATTGCTAATTTATTTCTTAAAGTCCTTGATACAGTATAATAGCAAGGGGATTGAATGATTAAATGACACAATAAAATTGCTATACTGTAGATATACCAAAGTGTAGGCTTCCATGTATAAATTCTGGTGAATTTAGTAATTCAAGTAGATATGTATGTACGCATAGCAATGTCTTTTTGCTCTACATGTATCCCATCATTCCTATAGCGGGTTATTTATTATCTATAAGTTTACACTTTATTTATTTTTAATTTATTCAATTCTTATGTAAAATACAGAGAAATATTTTTGTTTTCTAGGCAGATATTGGTACAAATTATATACTTATCAGTTAGTTTTACTGAATTTGATCCAAAATACGACGTCATCCATCTGCAGTATATGAGCGCCAAATACGGCATTCCTGATATTAATAATGACTTGATAATAGCAATAGATTCGGCATTCAGAAAGAACTATTTAAAGTCGAATTATTTACGCGTAGTAATTACTGTGCTAATTGTTGATAAAATTGATGAATGATAAATGATGATTATTGTACACCGATGTCATCTTCGATAAACTAAAATAGACGTAAAAGCAAGCCGTCTTTTTGATCGATTAATTATTTAAACTAAATCAATTCATTAATAACTGATGATTCATCGCATAATTTTAACAACATGCTTATTTATTGTTGAATGATAATAAAGAATAGCTGAAATGCTTATGTACGTTATATTGTGGCGGGTATTAAAATCTTATACAACTCATCATTCAAATATTTTCAAATGATTCATCGATCTTGCTTGGAGAACATCCAAATTATATTTAACTGTGCGCCAATTTATTGTTGACAATCAAAAAAGCTATAAAATTGTCCTTAAAAAATCGTAAACAAGAATAGTAGTGTTTTTACAGAGTGTGTGCTATCAACTGTTTGATAATTGTTCAGCAATTTACTAATAATAAAATAAAGGGGATTTATAAGCCTGTATGGCTAGTATAACTCAAGTACGCCTATAATTACAATCCACTCTTTCGATATTTGTCTGCTATTATTGACAATAGCTCGGAGGTAAATAAGCGGGCAAAGTAGTAAGACTCCTTGGTAAAACTGCCAGTTTTCCTAATTTTACCACCATGATCGTAGCAGTTACGGTGGAGGAGTATTGCTGAAATGATTTCAGTAGTTACTCGTCTAAAGCTTATCAAAGGTATAACCCTATATTTTAATCATATTTCTACTAAACTGGCCACGATACATTGCGTTATGTTAATAGTATGTCTCTATTCTAGGATTATACAGTAATTATATTATTATTAAAGCGGGCTAATAGATATAGCTGCCTCACATCGTCTATTCTGTTTCGATTTTCGTACACACTGTTGATTGTCATTGTTAGAATTTCAGAATCAATGTTATTAAATATGCGTATTCACAGTGCAACAGCTCATCAGCAGTGACTGGATTTAGCTTTACAAATGAATTATTATTACAGCAGTAATGAATTGGTTGGATTTCAAAAAGAGACGTTAGATACTTTGATTAATGACGCCAAGTATCCAAGGCATAATGCCTACGAGCGTAAAACACCCATTTCTTAGGTATCCGTCGTTTGTTCTTGCATCATTCAATGATTACCAGCGCTGTTGACGATGCAATGTTTAATGTTATGGTATTACATAGATTAGCTACGATATGAATAAGGCAGGTTAAAAGATACTGTATCTCGAGTGAACTAGAGCCGCATTTTACGAAGTTTGCATTTAACTTGACTCTCTCTTTTGATTAGTCCAGTATTCCAGTTTTCCATCCAGTGAATAATTAGCAATAGTACAGTTTAAGGTTGCACTTTGTATGTGAATTAATCAGATGATAATTGTGCTTTCGTTGAGTGAATCAGGATTAATTTCAAATGGCACTATCTGTGAATCAGTCATTAACAAGTATACTATGGTCTAGTGAACAAATTAGGAGTAGTTTAAGGCTGTACTTTGTCTGTAAATTATATCACCTATTATAAATAAACTGTGCTATGGATCCAATGAAATTGCGTATCAGTCATTTTGACACAATAAACTGAAGGTAAACGAAGGACTTTGGAAGGAGCCTTTCTCTCTCTGTTCCTATTACAGTCCATTTCTATTTGATCTGCACAGATCTTGGGTTTATATTGTCACTAAATCACTGTGAATACTTGAAAATATGGGTAAAATGAATAAATTATGTTTCATTTTTTTTGCCCGTAGCCAACAAAAATAAATGAAGCCATCGCGTACTTCCACCGCACCATCACGTGATCATGGCTGCGGACATGCGGTCGTGGTTGCTTTCCCGTCGTGAGTTGAGCGTCATAGAGAGACTGTTGACTGTGCAATGTTGTCAGTCCAGTGAGGGTGTGTTTTTAGTCATCTGTAGTACCACTTGGACGACTGTAGGCTGCGAACGTAACCATCAAGCACGTCAGTTGAAGACGCGTCCGTCGGTGTCCTGTCGCTCTTGTTGCTGACGCCATTGAAAATCTTTTCTTGCCCATTGACTCTTTCCAATATTTCCCAATTTTCTTGGCTATTGCAGCAGTTGTGTCGTTTAAAATCAGCTTTTACTTGTTGGACAAACTTAATAGTAGTATTAAATGAGCTACTAGCTTGCCATTGACCGATATTCATATCAAACTTGGATCAACAATGGTAGGTAAACTTTGGAACTTGGTCTTACTGATGTTAATCGCCGGTCATCTATCTATAAATCAAGTAAGTTTTCACTGCTCAATAACGCTAATATAAATCCATTACTGGAAAAGTTGTACAACTTGAATGTACTGTATATTGTAGTGGAAGTGGATACAGAGTATCTCAATATATTCTTCATGCTACGTATACCAATACCTTTGAGGGGGGAAAAAATGAGAGAGAAAAATATTACGAAATTTCAACAATCATGAGAAAGATGAATTGTGCCTTTCGTAACATTTTGCACGATTTTTTCCTCCCCAAAATAGTCGTTGCATCCAAGCACCTACTCAGTAGATGACGATATATGTTTGTCCGTTGATACCTTTCCAAATGGACGTCGTTGTTGACGTCAGTGAAAATGGTCATTATTACACAGGTTGAAACTTTCTATAGACAGAATGGTACTGTGCTATGACTGCGATAGATGGATATAAATGTTGATTGAGGAGGAAATTAAAATGATTATAATCGCTCTCCTTATTTTTAATTTTCCTATCATTACTGTTTCAAGCTTTCGACAATTGAGTCATTTTATAAGCTTAAGTTGAGTGGCTTTGATTGATTGACCACCGCATGTTGTTACTACATTAAATGAAATGAAAAATTGGTGACAATACTAATGCAACAACATCAATATGGAATGAATTAATTAACACTTACCCAGCATTTTATTGGCCAACAACGGCAAATTATGGAAGAAAAATATTTCCAAGGAAATCCATGAATGATAATACCTTACTAGTCATTCTAATTACGGGTAATTAATGAATTAATTCATTGGACATTATGAGTAATGGCAGTTTACAAATAAGGAATGCTATCATTCCATGGATGGTTGTCCTAGGCATGAAAACGATTGCAACTCATGATAAGATAAATTACATATTATTATTATTATTAATCCATCAATTAATCATACTCCTATGAAGGAACTAGCTGTTGACGCATACAATGATCATGACAAGAACGAGCATAGACACTATTTCGTAATTTGAAGTCAGTTGCGATGGTGTTCTATCCTTTTGTCACAAGTGGATTAGTAAGTTCCTTTTAAATAGGATTGCAACCATCAGAACGATCTTTTATCGCTGAACACAAAAAATACGAAATTAAACTATGTTCATGGTTGAAACCATGTACTAATCGCATCGAGAACTGACAATGTTTTCGAAAGGCAAGAGGAATAGTTTTCAAGCCAGTGCTTATTTTTTATACTCTACTGTAATTTTCTATTTCCACTCCAGTGATGATTTAGTAAGTCACGGTACTGTATCCGTCGCATGTCAACTTTCTGATATCTATGGTAGCGGCTTGCATGGAATTTAGTCTTAAGTGTACCATCCCCATAAATGCTTTACTTGGTTGAAATGAACGACGTAAATTAAGCTAGAAAACTGGATGATGTTGCCAACTTGAGAAAGTAAAAAATGCAAACTATACGTTGTTGCCAAGTACGCAATTCGATCTTACTTGTACAATACGTGGAAAAATCGGAAGTCAGACTGCCTGTCTTAACATTTGGTACAAAAGTAAAAATAATTCTGGTTTCGAATTTACCAACTTGACATTTATCGTAGAAAGCATTCTCATTAATACAAGGCTATGAGCTTCAGCTTGAGAATCCTTTAATTATCGCATAATGATGATAAATATTTAATATGTTCGTTGGCCTTAAACCATCTTCATTAGTGAAGGGATAGATGCTACAACATTTTAAAATTTTAATCAAGGTTTATATTTGGAAAATTGAAGGTAATTGAGAAGTTTAGATAGAAGTCGTGTAGTGGCTGACAGCTGGTAGTATTGCAGCAATATTAATAATCTTAATCTCAATGTGTACTGTAAGCATGAATTATCCGGAAAAATCTTGAGGTATTCTTTATATAATTATGTGCCAAACCGCGTGAGACGGTATTAGAAATCAAAATCAAGTACTGTAGTTGAAATAAAAGGATGTATCCTACCTTTCCAACTATATTAAGTTTTTTTATGCACATAGTACGGTAACTATTCTGCTAACTACGATAATTACTAAATTTTCAACGTTGCTCTTGGTCATCAATCAAATCATGCACGTAAAATTACTATGAATGCGTTATAGTTATAATTTTAAGCGATAAGGTGATACATACGAGTTACTTGTGAATTAATTTAAGAACATTTACAACATATATATTAGTAGACGATGATTAGTTACTGACTAAAGTAAGCCATACATATACTTTACTATTCGCTTTGATCTTTCAGGTAAATTGCCAATATTCTACTCGTGCCAGACTGATGTTAGAACTGGTCCAATATTATAATCCTAATGAAAGACTTTATGATGGAAGGAAATGCGATGTATTTTCCGCGTGCGATTACGTTTTTGAGATAGCAATTGGCACATCTGGTCGAAATAATAGTTATTACTCCCTCGTAACCAATACCTTTGAAAATGGCCAATACATTCAGTTCTCATCAGGAACAGCGCTGGCATCCAATGTTGGAAATCCAATTAGGGTTCCTATTCTTACGGCATTACCGGTAGGCTATGAAAATATCAGGATATTTGATTTCAAGTACTGTAATTATGCATAACCGATACACAAAAGTGTCATTTGTTTTTGTTAATAATCTGTTACATTGCTATAAAATTTTAGCCTTATTACCAAGTTAGTACCATCATCATTGATTGGGTATTGCTTAAAATTTGGTAGTTGATGATACAGTACTTCTCGTCAAGACAGGTATACCGCTATTACAAATTACTTTTTAACCGTGCAGTGCAGTATTTTACTACATTACCAAATGTATGGTAGTAGTGGTTTATTATTAGTTCAAATATTATAACGATAGCATACTACAGTACGTGTAGCTCCTGGTCTGCTAACGATAAACAATTATAAAGAACACTAATTTATAGCATGCTCGGATTGATTACCATCACATAATTTATTCGAATCATTCATTATATTTAAGACAGCAACAGTGTAATGATTTTATATCTTAAATGAATTTACTATCTTATTCCAAAGGCATCCGAATCGATACAATTATCTATCATCGTCAAAGACAACGAATTCAATTCGAAATTTGAAATTGTGGATTTTTTACGCTACTATAGCGACGCACTATCCGGAACCTCATTAAATAATCTAGTTATTACTGGTACACGAACTAAAGTCAATCCATCCAAATTAACAGTCAACTTTAAGATAGAATGTGGGACTGGCTGGGAAGGCCCCAAATGCGATAGAGGTACATCGACCGTATAGTATTAAAATTATCTTAGCAGTACTATAATTTGACAGTAGCAAAACTTCATTTTAAAATAGTCCAATAAAACTTTTGAATAAACTTAGTTAAATACTACCAATGTTACTTGTCCTAATGTTAAGATTGAAATATTTGTACGTAATTATTTTTAATCTTTATAAAATAGTGCAACAAAATTTTTGAATAAACTCAGTCAAATACTACCAATATGTACTTGTCCTAATGTTAAAACTGAAATATTTGTATGTAATTATTTCAAATCTTTATAAAGCTATCTGCCGCTCAGGCTGTAGCGTTACGCGTGGTTCATGTAACAATAGTCCATTTACCTGCAGGTAAGTTTTAAAGCCTATAGCACTATCAAATTGGTATTCTTGTTGACTATTTTCTTTGTAAAGGATAAGATCTAATAGAATTGTACTTTTGCTCAGTTTCACTTTTGTTGCTGTACATATATTGTATGAATAAATATCATTAAGCCGTTCTCATCATAAAATATGAATAGTTGCAATCCTGGCTGGACTGGATCAACATGTGATTCTTGTATAAAGTTATCAGGCTGTGGTAAATCATATAGCTAAGATCATTTTTATTTTTTTCAATGAATATTTAATGCAGGCTTCTTAGAGATTATGTAATCTTTCATCTACATTAGTGCTTTTATTGGACACATTGACGTGGATGTGTAATTTGTAGTAGTAAGAATTAATTTATTTTAATGAACTTCAATTGCATGTTGTTTTTTAGTACATGGCTATTGCCGCCTTGGAAATGATTGTACCTGCAGCACTGGTTGGCAGGGATCGTACTGCAATATAGGTGCGTAAATAGTTGCTGGCGTTGAGTTATATTATAAAGTTTATGAATGATGTTGTCCATAAAAATACTATTAGAGCCTATAGTGGTTTGAGTCTTTTCAACGAATTGGATGTATTACAGCTAAAACTCTAGTTTATCGAATTAATAATTTGCATATGTTATATGATGCTCTTTAACGGTAATCATTGTTGCTATTTTCAAGCGATATGTTCCGGTGGATGTAATGCTGAACATGGACGGTGTGCCTCGCCAGATAAATGTTTGTAAGTTGAAATTGATGTGTGATAAAGTAGTTATAGCAATTTGTAAACTGCTACAAATTTAGTTACGCTCTCTCTCATATGATCGTAAGTATACTTTTTCTCTCTGTTACGTTCGGTAATGATTAGCACTCCATAGCTTAACTGAAGCATAACTTATGCTGATATTTGTTTTCAACTCGAAATAGATGTGACTCTGGATGGACTGGTACAAGCTGTGATACTTGTATTAAATCGCCACACTGTTCAGGTATGAACTAACTAGTATCGCCACCTTTATACCCTATTTACTCTTAATATCGTAAGACATGTCAATAACGACGGCATGGTATATACTGTACTTGTTCATCCTAACTTTGATTAAATTCTTGAAGCCTGTCTTTGTTTTCTATGTGTAAAATAAAAATGTCTGCTTGAATTAGAATTACATGGTTATTGTCTCAATGGAAACGATTGTCTCTGCCATGATGGTTGGGGTGGTCCAAATTGTGATAAAGGTACGGATTTAGAAGCTTTGGCTTCGCGTTATTAAATTTGCGATATAATAATTACAGCTTATAATGCTTATAAAATTGATTTTGTTACGTAAAATAACATTTAAATCCTTTATCGCAATTAACTCAATAAGTACTCGTATTTCGACATGGGATCTCTTAATTGGTTACCTTTATCAATTTGTTTTCTTTACTTATTAACGATTGTATTAAAATTTTATTAACATTATGCGATTTTGAATTAGCCGAATAGCTTATCGCCCGTATTTTATTCTAATTTTATCATTTAATTACTGTATGTTTAGACTTAAATCCATGTAGTAACCCTAATCGTTGTAAAAATGGTGGTACATGCCAGCGTTTAGGAATAAATACCTATAGGTGCAACTGTCTACCAAGATATACTGGAGGTCACTGTGAATATTGTACGTTAGTCATTTAAATTATATGGCTTTTAATATTTTGTTGTCAATGCTACTTTGGTAATTATCTTGAGCAAAACTTCTATGTCAGCATATATTTACAAACTATTTGTTTGCTGTTTTCGACAATATGTTTAGCGCCACCTGATAAGCCTCAGGTACGAAATATTGCCATCAATGCTACACAAATAGCGATAACATGGGATAAATTCCAATCAAACGGTGGCTACCCTTTAGTTAAACTATACTTTCGATTAGACTATTATCAAGTTAGCAGCTTCGGCAGCCCCGTTTTCGGCACTAGATCTTCATCTAGCAACATCTCTTATGAAATTAACGAGGCCACCATTTCTCACCTACTGCCCGTAACCTATTATAGTGTTAGCGTTATCGCTTTTAATGGAATTGGTAAGAATAGCAGTTCGTGGAGGAGAGTAAAAACTATAGGTTATCCTCCACACCCTCCGATCATTAATAGAATAGTTACAACAATGAATGCTATCGATATTGAATGGAACATTACATCAACTGGGGGTTATGATATTTCGGAGGTTCAGAGTTTCCTTGAATATCAAAAATGGTCAGATTATTTTGAAAATCGAGAAAAGGGTTTGACTAAGATACTTCTTCATCATTATCAATATCGAATTGACAAATTGCAATCAAATACTGGCTATAGATTGCGTATTACCGTAAAAAATCCTATTGCTAAGCGTTCTTCTATATGGATCAACGAAACCACTTATGGTATGGCTAGTTAAGCTTTGTACTTTATTGCTTATATTTCGTGACATAATTACCAGTACAATGTATCACAAGTTTGCTGCGCAAGCAGTTTTTAAGTAAATAGCGGAAGAGTTCCAATTTCACTATGGTGTTCTCTCTGAATTTCACATTTTAAAGAATCTATTTAATTTAATTTATTTTACAGGTGTCCCTGGTCTTCCAATTATTTCTAGTTTAATTAGTACCTCCACGACTATAATTGTTCGTTGGTTACCATCTCCCTCAAATGGTGGTTATACCATGTCGAACTTATCATACAATGTAGAATACTTGCAGGCTGATGGCTATCAAGAACGTATTTGTCCAAGATGTACAGTTTCGCCATCAGTTAATAACGTTTACTTTCTATTAAATAAACTAACGATTGGAAGTCCCTATGTAATAAGAATTAAGGCAACTAATCCAGGAGGAGAAAGTTATAGCAGTTGGAGAAGAATGTCTACAAAAGGTGTGTAAGTAGTCTTGCGTTATGGGCTTGATATTTTTAAGTACAAGAATGGGCAACTAAAAAATGAGAAATCTCCTTTATCAGGTGGTCCCTGGTACATAGTGTATAGAAGTACTTCGTAAAACAACTGATTTATTTAAAAAAGTAACGGTTTAACAAAATTCAGATTCCTGTTATAGAATCCTTGAGACGTTTTATCACGCTAACATTATACTTACGGTATAACCTGCTAATTACTTTATCTAGCTTTTGTGTATATAAAGTTGACGTAGTATTAGAACATTGTCATTGTAAATTTTTATGTAATAAGTCCTTATGCTCTATAAATATTCTTATCTAAACTTTCACTCCCTGTACATATTTGTATCGAATACTACGGTATCATCATGGTTTGATTCATGTTTGATTGGGTTTTATCTTTAGGATATCCGCGTAACGTAAAAATTGATCAAGTCTTACGTAATTCTACATCACTAAATATCACATGGTTTCCAGTCGTTGATAATGGCGGTTACAGTTCTTCCAGTCTCATATATTTTATTGAATACATCAACAAATCCAGTCCTTTCAGTAATAGCCAATCTAATTGCGATGCTTGTAAAAGGACAAACAATGTTACTACAACTTTTGTAGTAGTATATAGATTGACAGTATTGACAGAGTATTATGTTCGGTTACATGCAATTAATCCAACAGGAGACTCAAAATCGTCGTGGCAAAGTACGACAACTTTAGGTCAGTTCTTTAATCTAGATCACATATAATATCTTTACAGATTTTCACGCTATTTCTTCTACTCGTGTAACAGGTATGCGGATAGCTAAATATTACTACTTTCAAATAATAGTCGTATCTCATTGCAATAGCCAAAGCTTAAAGCAATGTAATCAATAGGAATTGTCGTTATTTAATACAACAGTATTAGTATTAAGATTATCTATCTATTTTGGCTTTAGTCGTTAAATGCTTTGCAAGTTTATTCAGAAAAGTGTCTGGATTCTATCCTTTTAGCAATTTCTTGACAGGAACTCTAACATCAGGCTATTATTTGTATAGTATCAGTAATTTAATTTATTAGTATGTCTAAACGTTGTATTACATGAGTTAAATGTGTAAATCGTTGGTAATTCATGAACTCTCCTATGAGTTTATCAAGCTGATGTCGTTTATTTTTCTAATAGAAAAAGTATTCAAACATAAAGTACTAAATACTTGCTAAATTATGCCTTTTCGCTACTAACAGCTTGCTTTTGTAAAATTTGGTTACAGGATACCCTCCTGATGCTCCAACAGGTATTACAATTGTAGCCGATGCGCAAAGAGCCACGATCACATATAAAAGAATCAAATATTACGGTGGTTATAGTTTAGGAAGCATTACGTTTTATGCCAGATATCTCATCAATAACGGACAAGTGCCTAATACTGATTGTACGAACTGCTATAAGAGGACTTATGGTACAGAATCTTCGATTCAATTAACTGGTTTATTGGTTGGTACAGTTTATTACATTCAAGTTGTTGCAGCTAATGAAGCAGGGCAAAATGCCAGTCATTGGGAAAGATTCACAACGAAAGGTTATCTTTGAAATTGTATAATCGTATAACGATGTATATGTGCTTTACAGATCTAATTTTGAATCTAATATTATGCATTGATAAATTCTTATGTACTTCTGTTTACAGGTAAACCAAGTTCAGTTACTGGCATTAGAATTACTGTTTTACCCTCGGGGGTTATAATTACATGGGATCATCCAGCGTATACCGGAGGTTACGATCATTCACAAATCACTTACTTTGTTGAATACGGTGTTGCTGGTACAGGCAGTGATGGGTGCCAAAGTTGTACGACTATCCCTACAAATAGAAATACCACTGTGACTTTACGCGGTTTAGGGAGCTCAAGAGAATATCGAATACGCGTCATAGCAAATAGTCCAGCAGGCGTTTCAGCTAGTAACTGGACATCAGTGTGGACAAGAGGTATCAAAAATTGTTATACGAATGTTTTTAGCCACGCATTCGTAATTATTAGGTTGTTCATAAACTTGCATTGCTTTGTTATGTACCCTATGACTGTTACTTATTGCTTTTAAATCATGACGCTCAATACGATATTTTTTCTTATAATGAGGCATTACACATCGTACGTTATGCATTATAATTTCTATTTATGATTCTGTGTATGCGTTTATGAAATATATTTTGTTCATATTTTGCTTATCACGACACCATTGTTAGCATTATACTTGCATGCACGTAATGGTTTAATACTGATTGTTAATAAATCAATACTGTCATTTCTATCATTATATGATATGTAATGACGTCGAGGTGTTCTTCTCATTTCAAATCGGATAGATATATGTTTTGGACTAACAGATTCTTTATTACTTATTGATTGTTCCAATGGCTAATAACATTGACTAATTTTCTACTGAACGTTAATAGGTGTTCCTTCCGCTCCATCAGACATATTAATTGGAAATATTACCTCAACTTCGGTTTTAATTAGTTGGACTGCTGCTAAAAGCTACAATGATCAGAACTCAACTGATGTTGCTTACCGTGTCAAATATTCCATTCATCGTATGCGTGACATTAACTGTAGCTTTTGTCGCCTTACTTCTCCAACTTGGCGTACATTTATAGTACTAACAGGATTAGAATCTTACACTGCTTACGATATTTCTGTTGTTGCTTCCAATAATCTTGGCAGTAAATCTTCTACTTGGTTTCGATTTGTTACTTTAGGTACGCGAAAAGTATACTAGATCATACTGCAGTTGATCATAATAATTGCTCGCTGTTTTGAATTAATGAAGAATTGTTATACCTCTTTAAATCATTTTCGCAGGTCAACAACCACAAATGCCACAAATTATTAATACAGAGGCAACATCGTCCTCAATAACAGTTAGATGGAAGTTACAAGACTACAATGGAGGGTATGACATGAAACAACTATCGTATTATTTGCAGTATCTGGCGGGAGAGGAGTTACGTGAAAATTCAACCTGTCATGCATGTCATAATACTTCAATCACGCAAGCAAATCATATTCAAATCGCTGGTCTGTCACAAAACACCCGGTATAATATTAGGGTTGTGGCTGTTAATCCCGCAGGGACAAGTGTTAGCAAGTGGATGAAAGTTTCTACTACAGGTGTGTTTGTATGAAATGGTATGTGAATAATGCGCTAACATAGCTAATTTATATAAATATTAGAGTGATTTTATTATGGGTTGATGAGATGCTTTCAGCAGTGCATAATAACAGTTAGTCTTGTTTATAATTTGTGCTGTAATATTATAGGCCTTCCAGAAAGACCCACAATTGTCAGTACTACAGCTATCGATTCGTCTTTGATTATTCAATGGAATAAATTATCTTATAACGGTGGTTATCCTGTTGAAAATGTAATTTTTTACGTGCAATACAGCACCAAGGAGCAACAGAGCAACAGTAGTCATTGTCAATTATGCCTACTAACTCAGCCAGTTAGGAATATCAATGTTACTGTAGGTGGTTTGAATCATTTAACGTTATATTGGATTCGCGTTCTAGCTGAAAACGTAGTCGGTAGAAGTTATAGCCGTTGGCATCAAGCATGGACATTAGGTACTGTGTTACTATGATCGAATCCCTATTTCTAGAATGCAATTATTTTGTGTTACTTAATAGATTTCAGGCGAAGTTAATCAAACATGAAGTTACGTTGATTTTCTTATTAATCATTAGGTTATCCTCCTGGCTTAACTTCAATCACTTCTTCTTCCTCTACTCCTTACTCAATTTTTTTGACTTGGAGAGAAATCACTGATAACGGATTATATAGCATAAATGAATTAGTTCTTTACGTTCAATATGTCACAAAAGACTTTAAGACTCAAGATTGTAGATATTGTCATCGTGTAAATACTACTTCAGCAACTTCAGTCGTCATTCCGAATTTAATATCTAATACTATTTATAAAGCTAGAGTTATTGCTCAAAATACCGCTGGAAGTACTAAATCAGCATGGAAAGATATAGCGACAAAAAGTAAAGCAACTTACATTCTTAATATATATATATATATATATATATATATACATTATACACGTATGTAACAGAATTCGATACGTATAAACTTACGAATTGTTATTTTTGGGGAATTACTTTAGATTCCATACACTCTGGCATAGAATTCAATGTGATCAAGGTTACATCTGAAACAGCCACTATAAAGTGGACTGTAGAAAATCCAACAAACCGTCACCCTCACACTTTTACGATAGAATATGTACAATCTAATATTCCTGTCTCTGGCTTAATTTGTTTACACTGTCACAAAGTAGTGAATCTCACTATCACTCAGTATCAGCTGGTTAATTTATCGATAAATACGATTTATAAGTGGCGAATTAAGGTTTACAGCCTTCAGGAAACCAATATTACAGACTGGAAACAATTTAAAACTACAGGTATATCTACAGTAATTTCCCTTCTTCTGAAATTAGTATGATATTAGTAAATAGTTAGATTCATACATTAGCTTAAATGTCTATAGTGTAGTGTACCTTTATTGAATCTCTATGGTATGCAAGAGAATTATCAAATTTGATTATTACAATTTTGTGATAATAGCAGATATTGTTTGAAGTTTTTTCTCCGCTTAATATCGACATTATATTTATTAATTCATTAAAGCATTTAGTCATTAAATTTTATGAGTTTTGAGAAGCATTTACTAAAGATAGTAACTCGTCATTCTAAATGTTTTCATTAAATTGAAAGGTCCTCCTGATAAGCCACATATTATCGCTGCAACTACCAACAGTTCGACAGCTGCAATTACCTGGACTTCCATTGATTATAATGGTGGTTATGATAGAAGTCTTTTAGTCTATTATGCTCAATATACGAATAGGGAGTTACACGATGATGATTGCTTGCAATGCATGCGGTCTAGAAATATTACGGTAACGACTGCTGCAATTAAGAATTTAAATAGTAATTCAAATTACTGGGTGAGGATTATCTCGCATAATCCAACCGGCAAAAGTTACGGGAACTGGATGAAAATCAAGACTAAAGGTAGGTCATGAGATTGTCAATGTTAGGCTTAGGGTTATGTCTACATTTTCTATAGCTGTTACTTAATCACTCTCAATTTCACCCTAGTCTTATTAAAAAAGTTAATTATAAATTTGCTGTCAAATTATCGCAATGGAATCTGTGGATAGACGCAATAAATTTATTAGTTTGCATTGTAAAAGGAAGTTTTCAACATAAGAAAAATATGAAAATATAATAAGACTGTATAAACACTTATACGGCTTTTGTAATTATACCGTATCATTTAACATTGACGATGTCACATGTGTGAACAATACTTCTGAAAATCTTGTTAACTAATAGTTACGATCATGAGAGTCCATGATTTTAATTAAATTATAATTAGTCTCATGTATGTAAATCTTTGTAGGATTACCTGATAAGCCGAAAATAACTAGTATCGTAAATAGCAACATCACGACAATTCTAGTCGATTGGGATCCCATTCGGTATAACGGTGGCTACGACTTATCATTAGTAGTATACTATGTCATATTTGGTCCAAGTGTAATGGACGGTGGCATCCCAAGTCCATGTGAAAAGTGTAATCGAAGTTTGAGAACGTCCGGGAGTATGGCCATGTTAACATCGTTTATACCGCATACTTATTATAGTTTTAGAGTTGTGGCGAACAATGTAGTTGGCAGTAGTAGTAGTCCATGGGAGTATTTTAAGACTAGAGGTAAGTGAGTTTGATAGTCAGCAATGTCTCTAGAACATATGTCAAGTATTAAATTTAAAAAATATATTTTTACTCATTACTATTGCGTTCGTACAGTACTAAAAGAGCAATACGTGTATTAAACATTTCCATTTCTTGTTTAGGTCTAGCTCCAAATCTCTTGAATATTAGTAGAATCATAGTAACAACTAATTCGATAGCTATATTTTGGCAATTACTATTCTCTGGTGGCTATCCTATAGAAGATATAGAATTTTTTATTCAGTATATCGAAGGACAGTGTCAGGAATCCTTTAATTGTACATTGTGTCAATTTATTAAGTCTGAAAATTGGTCATCCTTTACTATTAATCAGTTACCCTCAAACACCAATTTTTGTTTCCGAGTAGCAGCATCAAACGAAATTGGAACATGCTACAGCCAGTGGATAAGCAGGCGGACTTTAGGTATGAAAAATTTATAAATGTACGAATTGTTAGTAATATTTATTACCGCAAATTGTTAACGATATATTTCAACGTAAAAACGGAGAACGCTCGCCTACTATAACTCTAAAATTGAAAAAATGTTCTTGTTTATGCTCACGAATGAAATAATAGAGCCTACAGTATCAACAACAAAAATATCGGAAACTACGAGTATAATCACTCAAAGTCAACCGACCCTTGGAAGTACCGCGCCAGCTACGTCACTGGCAACTACTAAGTATTCAATCTTTCCACCTATACCTCATGTTACAGCAGTTGAGGGAGGTTGGAATTATATAAATATTTCCTGGATATCGCTAAAGAGAACAATTGATCCATCCACTTTTTATTTTATACGTTATAAAGAGCAAGTTGACGAGAATATGACTTGCTACGATTGCCTTGAAACATCGGCAATTTATCAACATCACTACTTGCTAAAAAATCTGCGGAATGATACAATTTACTTAATTCAGGTGGTAGCTAAGAATATGAATGGAAAAAGTTTTAGCGCTATAGTTCAAGTAAAAACAAAGGGTAATTTATATATGTCGAAACTTTAATGTATCTACTTTACTTGTTATAAAAACTTTAATAGATTAATCATATTGGATTCTTAAACGCATATGATAATAATGGCTCTATACTTTAAACGAAGGCGATTTAAGCTTGTAATAATAATGCTGCTTTTTTTTCATTAGAATATCTCTTTCAGGTGAAGTTTACTGTAGTTATGACTGTAGAAAATTTATATCTTATCTTTTTTAGACATCATTTTATTATCAGCCTACAATTGTTAGACATATAGTACTTTTATAGGTCTAGAAATACACGCTAAATTACAATTTCTTAACACGGTACTCCTGATTAACTATTTTACTAAAATATTAAACTAAATCAATCCTACAGCACCACCGCAATCAATCCCGGCCGTACGTACATGGCTTGGACCGATATTAGGTGGAGGAGGAGCAGCAATCGTTCTTATGATAGTAGCTGTAATTTTTTCTATTAAGATTATAAGAAAGCGAGGTATGAGTGATTTCGTTTCTTCTAACTTTGATTGCACAATTAACTATCGTAAATTTTTCAATCAGACTAATTAAAGGCTAATCCAGGATAAATTAAATTAATATACATATTGATATTCACTTAACATTTGAATATAAAATTTTATCTATTAAGGGGCATTATTATCTGGCAACCAAAAGAATAAGCAACGGCAGCAGGATTCAATCTATGAAGAAATTGACAATTTTACTAATGTTTTATACGAAAGTGGATCAACACTTGGCTTAAAAATAAAGAATGATACAGGTACAGATTTACCTACAAATATCACTCCCGATAGTCCATTCAGACGCCAAGCAAGTAGTATCAATTCAACAACGACGTTGCTTACAGATAGTGGAATATTTCATTGTGGGGATGATCAAAACAAACCGAAACCAGCGTTTAATCATACACCTGGAGTTCCGCAGTTACAACGATCACTGTCTGATGATGAATGTTATAGTTACATGTATAGACAGCGTAGTAGAGCTAATACTGCAGAAGATTCATCTTTATTATAATAGTTCAATATATTGATCGCTTACTAAGCAGCATAATGCAAATAATTTCGCGATATAAATAATAGGTAAGCTAGTTTTAGCCCCATCAAGGTTTAATGATTCTTTATTAGCATGCAGTAGTAGTACAGATACTTATATCAACTTTTAAATAACTTCTGTAACATAGATACCTGTTACGTGGTTAATGTATTGAGGTAATGGTTTCTTAAAGAAGGCTATTTGTAGATTACTTGACAACAGTGATTACGGATATTTATCTTAAGTTAAAATTTTAATCTCTAACAGAGGTACCACTTCAGAATGAATTTGTCATTCTGACAAGAATTTAAGCTTATATTAAATGGGTGAAGTCAATGGTTCATTCTTATATTCGTTAAAGCACTTTTGTTAACTTTTAGTATTATTTGTATCAATATCTGATGCTGTAATTCTGTGAACGGCGACAGCCAGTCCGCAGCCGCTGACTCTTCAAACCCTCCATCACATTTATGTTATTTAAATACTGTACCATATAGAATAGCTTTATCCCTGTGCGTGTTTAGTACTGATATTTTTTCTAACTACTCTGTCAATCTTTGTCTATTTTAATTATTGCAACTTACGCAAACGGTATTACGGCGTCTTTAGTAAGCGCAAGTTGTTATAGTACATATTTAAGATGTTAATAAATAAAAATTTAAAGCATAATGAGAATTGGCAACTGAGTCAACAATTGGATTATGCAACGAGAATCTATCTATCTCATTAGTGGCATTTATACCACCAAGTGTAGAAATTGATTGATTCCATTTAAATAAATACATGGTTAATGGCTAAGATACTTTTTGGTCTAATATATTAATATATATCGGTTTAGCATGATTTAGATACTCCCAACGCCTACGCAATGACTCCTTTGAAAAATATCTTAAAAGCTATTTTATCAGCGTTAAGTTTGATTTGTAAGACAGATGCAAGTGAGAATTCAATGTTAACTCTGAACCGACCACAGATTAACTATTTATGAACATAATTATGAAAACTTGTCAAATTCTAAATCGAACGTGCTATAACCAGGAATTATATGTTCAGTAAAGTACGGAATATCCATATCGAAACTTATCATCGCTGTCATAAAATCATGGACTGAGATTAATAAGTCGTGATAGGGCTTTGATCGCTAGAACTCTTTTAACCCTCTTTCTTTATAATTTACTTTAAGAAGTACTTTTCTCCCTTGTGAATATCTGGATACCTTTGCCTAAACGACTAAAACTGACAAAATGTTCAAAATTTATCGATCAATTTTCCAAGGATTGCTTCACTATTCTTTAATATCCCGTATCCATGATATGTAGTGAAACTTTAATAACTATTTATTTCTCTCTCAATATGATTGTAAGTCAGCGATTTAACTCAATAGAGCTTTTAATAATTAATTTCATGTTACTTCGAGGCTTCAGGAATAACAATGTTACATATGTTTACGTAGATCAAATTAGATAGACAGAGCTATAAATATTGCTAGCCAATAAATACTTTACCGTATCATTGGACGAAATATGATTAAGTTTTAAAATTAATTAATTTATAGGAAATTATTTAAATACTATTGCGATTATTCCAGTATGAACATTAACTTGTAAATGGGTAACGATTACCAGATAAAATCAAAATAGTCTAAATTTTCATTAAAGTAGTAGGATAGAGTGGTGTAGTGATTTCAGCTAATTACAGTAGTTTTGTGTAAGTGGGTATCAAGCGATGCAAGTATCCTAATTACAATTAATTATGGAAAGAATTTGCAATTCAAATTTCATATAGAACAAAATGATGTCACTGTATGTATGTATTCTAGCCTAGAAACAAGCTAATGTCAATGATAATTGGTAAGAGATATTTCAAGCTAGAATATTACTTCATATGTGACATACATGCTGTAGCCTAAGTAAAAAACGGCTGTAACTTCTGCAGTATATGAATGCTATCAGATAATTTATATATTATTTTTTGGGTAAAATGGCATGATTAATTTCATTAATATCCAATTTCGAAAACGAATCGTAGAGGACAGGAAATTTACTTTAGTTAATGCCAGCATATTAAATAAAGGTAAAATTTAAAATCTGGTACTTAATCAAATCATAGCTAGCAGTAACAGTATACAAATATTGCATTAACTATCTTATTGGCCTGAATTTCACGATTAACCATGGGTGTTATTTCAGTTCATACTGAAATATAGGTATCATAAAATTGGTGTAGAAGTGATAAGCTCCTTAAATTAAATAATACCATTAGCTAACTAAGATCGAGATAACCTGTATCTGCAAATTCATGAATTCGCAGAATACGCCGTATTTAGTATGGGTATAGATACTTGCACACCGCTGAAATAGAATAATGCCTACAGCGAAACAAAAATAATCTTGAATTTATACATCGATTTATGTATCTATGCAGGTCATTACAACATATTGCAAATTGAACAGTTCTGATTGAAATGACGTTCGTAGATATTAAATAGCGGACAATAAATTATCAGAAAATATAAATATATAGACCTTTACAAATCAATGTCGTGCTTTTTATAGCCTCTAAATTATCATACTTTCTTATGCAATGGAAAATTACAATTGCAATAGCACAACTACGGGTCTAATTTTTGCTGAGAATCAGTTATGGATGGTATTTCGGATAGCCCACATTTGCTTTCTTGTTTCATTGTTTTCAACTTAATATTCAAATTAACCAGCTCTTGATGCAATTTATGATAACGTTTATATTTCTAGAAGAGCATTGCAGCAATAGCAAAAGCAAGTTTACTTAAGATGAATACATTTTACATAAAATGAATCTGGCTATGCAAAAATTTTTGATTAGTGGCGATAATGATATACAACAACCAGAAAAAATAATGACTAAGTTAACTAATCCATTTGATATTAATTAAGTAATTGATCATAGCTAAAATTAGGGCATTTTGCATGCTTACACAACAGGCCAATAAAGTAAAGCTAAGGGTACTATGTCTTAATATACCTTATAAGTAATTTTATTATTGACCACTAAGTGTGGTAACTGGAAATAAAACAATGATTATGATAAGTAATTGAGTTAATGTTATATGATATTGCAATTGATCATAACTTAAGCTAAGGTATAATGTTAATTTGTTAATTTAATACGGCTGTAATCTATTCCAGAATCCTTTTGTATAGACACTTATCATGAAGGTATTAGATCTAATCTATTTATATTCGAATCTTTATGTGTAATTCACAATTTAATATAGTATACTAAATCAGATCATCTTCTTTCAATATTTTTTTATATTTGTAGTGATCCCAGCTAATAGTAATAGATATAGTTTTTTTAATACGGTAGTAATATGAAGTAAAGCACTATATGACGAAGAATAGTCGGTTGTGCGTAGTAAAGTAGTTATAGATTATTATTTTGGCTGTGATGATAAATTATTTTAACAACTTCAATTTCCAGTTAGTGATTTCCAGCAATAAGCTTATAAACCCATTTACTATAATAATTTACAATATTTATAGCGATTTCTATTCTATAAGCTAAATTACATACGGTAATTTTGTGCAAAGACATAACTGATTTGAATATTGTGTCGGGTAATATCAAAGGATTTTTATTTACTTTAGCAGAAAGCATTTTATTCTGAAGAAGCTCTAGATATACTTTTACCTGCTGAAGAACTGATTGTAGCTTTTCAACCTCTTTAACGTTCGAACTAGCAAGGCATTTTTCGTTATATGCTGCAACAGTCGCTATGGCAGTTAGTTGTAGATTTTGATGGACATGATTCCACTGATTTTTCCATGCTAGAATCTAAGCATGCATTTATAGTTAACGAGTTAGTACTGATTTAAAGTACGATGAAACGATTAATTATCAATTAGTATCTCAGTTAACACTACTTGAAATTAAAAAATAAAAAATAGCGAAACCATAATGAATAAACAATCCTGTCATTACCTTAGGTACAAATAGCATCAGCATTGTGGTTGTGGTGCAAATAATAATGCAACTACTGATCAAGCAATAACTTGTGGTAACTTGAACGGTGACAGTAATAAATGCAATTAAACCAAGGATACAAAATATCAATATATTATAGATAGAGAAGGCGATGTATTTAGAATCGTTCAGTCCAGTAATATTGATATTTCGAGTCTCGAACGCCAAGAAACTTCCAAAGACTAATAGCACAAATTTGATAACACAAATTGTAGCAAGCCATACTGCTAAATTCTCACAGGAGCAGAAATAGTAAACACTTTGTATTTTATATCTCGGATCAACACCATCCTGAAACAAGAATTGAATCATTTTAAAAAGAGCTCCGAGAGCAGCTTATAATACTGATTGGGAAATTAAGTACAATATCGTCTAAGCTATAGTGCTAATTGAAAAGCAAAAGCAATCTTATACATCTTTAATTTTTGAAAAGAAGTTAGGCATATCTATCCGTATAAAGGAGCTAATCAATAATCCTCTAATCATGCTATAAATTTAATACTAATCAACATTAAAAAGGAAACTTTTTTTATCTACCTTTGTAGAAATAATATACCGCTTTTCTTCCATAGGATTGACTTGATTCCATATAATAAAAATTAGGATATCAATAAATAGCAACATGCATACTATTGCAATAAGCTGCCAATCTTTTATAGCCTAAATATGCCAAAAAGATAAAATAGCCGCTTACGATCTGGCATATAAAGCTGATTAACTTTAATCGATGGAGGTAATTTCTAATGTTGACATTTAAAAGCTAGTAGCTATCCTGTCTAGCATTTTTAAGTAAAACAGTATGATTAAGCTTGGTTAATATAGCCTTTAATAAGAAATCTTACAACTGCTTTGGAAGTTTTATTCGTAAAAATCTTATGGATTCGCCACGTCTTAGCAAATAACGAGCCGTAAACTAAAGTAAAGCCAGTACAGATGAGCCAAATTTTGGCTTGGCACAATATTTGCATATGTCGTCTTGCGATTTTAGCTGTTTCAAAAGTAAATACGATTACATCCAAATAACAAATTATGCAACCAATAATCAAGACGTTGTTCAAGCGTGGACAGGACAACTTTAATTGTCTGTAAAATTGAGAGATACAGAAAAGAATAAAATAAGTTCTTGTTTTACAGAATCTTTATTACTACTATCACTTCAATATCCGAGAAGAATTGATCTGTAGTAGCCTATCTAATCATATCAAAGGCTTGACCAATTTTTAACAAGATACTGAAAAAAATTTTAGCTATCCATTCATTAAATTTATTAATACTTGCATCATATGCATACGAGCATATGAATCTATAACTTGGAAAAATCTTTATTTAAACTAGTCTAAAAATACCCACTTTTGATTTTTATGCAAGATGTTAAAAATAAAGAAACCAATGGCGGTAATAATGCCACAAGTAGCTAAACATGCAAATATGAAACCAGCAGTGTAGGAAATTAGCTGCCTAACTTCCAGTACTTCTGGAGGAGATTTTGGAATAACACCGGCTAAATGAATGAAAGCAGAATAATATGCATAGAATGTAAACGATGTAATAATGCTTGCTAATGCAGCTATCTGTTAATAGTAATAATTCGCTCAAAGAAAACTAATATTAACGGGTGCACTAATTTATGCTAGTTAATTACGCTTACAGTTTCGTCATTTCTACATAATTTTAGCTATTCTTTTTCTAAGTGGGAGTTGAGGTAGCAGTAAATGAGTACTAAATACTAAGAGAATTCTAGCAGTCTAATGGATAGCTGGTTTAAATATTTTCGAAGCTTATTTCACCACAAGTGTACAAACTGTTACATTTATACGCATATTACTGCAGCTATACACTTAGGCTTAGAATTAACCTAATCAGTAACGTAACCAAATTTAAGCGACTTCGACGTTTTTTAGATTCAACAATTTCTTAGAGGTTAGACTATGTAAGATTATAATTAATATACTGGCCTGTTTTCTCATTTATTTCATCAAAATTATGTACTTTAAAATTAGAATTGTAGCCATAAATTTTCTATCAGCTACTACATTCTGTATGATATATTATATTATATTTCTACGTATTCCTAATTTACTAATTTTGTAAAAATGTTATGAGCTAAGTAATCTTACGGCATTCGTTCTAACGAAAATAAAAATATTTACATATAAACAAAATTGCACATTTCTACTAAAGAAAAATTTATGGGATCATACTTAATGCACTAACTCTTTTGATTTATTTCTTAAAAATTTTAAAATTGCATACTTTGAAATTAGAATTATAGTCATTAATTTGCTAATTTGATATCAGCTGCTATATTCCTTTTTGATTTGCTATATCTCTAATAAATCCTAATTTACTGATTTTTAAAAATTTTATGAGTTGAATGATCAAATGAAATTCGTCCCAAGGAAATAAAAATACTATACATATAAACAAATTGCGCATTCTATAGTAGAATATTAATTCGTCTTGGAACTAGATTAAAATAATCGTTAGGAGATGTCAGTAATGTTTTGTACCTGGCCATGTGATTGGATTATCTTTATAGAATGATACTGATTTCGATTGTATATCGTAGATACCAACTGGAACCATTTCTAGGCTATCATTTCGATCTGTTTATTTTACCATCATGAAGTAAAAGATAGAGTAGGCATGAATAGGAAATAACAGCACTTTAGCAATATAGAAGATTAATTTAAAGAATTTTTAAAGGCAATATTATTTTTTGTTGCCATCTTGAAACGGTCATAACAGCAATAACTATTTGAAGGAAGAATAATACTTTTATTCGTGGATTTTAATGCAAGCTAATCCTATCTTACCTGGTAATTGCAAAATGTGAACATCTTCAATTCTTTCAAACCCATCGTAGCAAACATGACCCTTATGCACAATAGAAATGGTTGTAGGCTATAAGTAAAACTTTAAGAAATAACTATCGAAAATTCTTTGTACTAATGACCATATATTATAAGTTTGTTTATGTAAATCAAGTAAAAGTCGCTAGATCTATTGATGATGTGTGGAAAATGGCGAAGCAATCATGGAAACATATTATGCCTATTATAATTTTAAAGGTATGTGGAATAACGAATAGCAATATTAAACGAGGAAACTTTTTAGCATTTGCAACTACAAATCGTGAATACAATTAATGTAAGACTGCCATCATTTCGTTTCTAAGTTAGTTATAATGAATTGGTAGAAAGTTGAAAGGACTTACGGTTACACCATTAAATGAAGTATTTGTTAGGCTTTCATTTAGAATTGCCATAATAGCTTTATCAGAATAATTGAAATCTAATAAAGATTGGTTTCTTTTTTTCAATTCCGCATCGGTTTTATTCAAGGCCATAGCCAAAATCCAAACAGCATCGTAGGTATAGCCTTTCATATGATCATGATTGTGTGTAACAAGAGAATTAGAGCGAAAGTATTGAAAAACTTTCCATGGTGTCTAAAAATGGTATCCATCATAAAAATAATCATGGTCAAGGGTAAATTCAATTAGTAAAGATATAAGTCAAAATTATGATTAACTGTATTGATATAAAATTATTCAAGATAATTGGTAATGAAGACCTCGCTATCAACAGAAAAGTTGAGCATTAGAGGGTATGCCAACTCAGAAAATAAGCTTCTTAAGAGAAAAGACAAGTCAAAATCATGATTAACTATATCGATCTAAACCAACATAAGATTTAAACATTAAAGGGTATATCTGCTTAGAATGTATGCTGTTTAAGAGACAGAATGAATCTAATATTTCTAAAATTAATTATATAACGTGCCAGTAAATTATATACCGTAAAGATATCTTTAGAAATCATCTATATCTTAGCAGTAAGCAAACTGGAGTTCCATACTATGTTACACTAGTATCTTCATAGTCAGTAAATTAGGATCAAAATAAATTCCTTTCTATAACAATAATGTAATTTTGTTCTTTTGATCGACAGTAATGTTTGTCCAGTTTAAGCACATTATTGAAAAGTATTTCGATGTGAAATTTCTGACCGTTCTTGCTGAAAGCAAGTATAAAAGAACTGATTAAGTTACAGCAATTTCTTAATTTAATTAATTATTAGTTATAAAGATTGCTTGGAGAATTTGCAATTAAGATCGTGGGTACTATTCAATTAATTGACTTATAGGACCCTAAATACAATTAATGCTAGTGCTTACTATGTAATAAATTTATGAATAACTTATTTGATCATCATTAATTACATTTCAAAGTACTAACTGTCATTGGAAAGCTCGATCAGAATAAACTAATAAGAATGTCACGGAAAAGGAACTCAATTGGGCTAAATGTTAAAATCTTACCTTACCAGATATGGTCTCAGTTTTGTTATCATAGCGATTGAATGATCGATATGTGGCTAAATAATGATTTATTACTTCATAAATTTGATCTGTTGTGCATCCAATCTTCGGATCTGAAATTTCATACCATGCGTTATAGTACCAGCCAGGGAGGACCCACAGATACTTGTTGCCATATAAACCTGCTTTATATGCCTATTTAATTTAAGAATGGATGATATAATTTCACTCATAGTTAGGATTAATTTTTACAGTTTCACATATTGCATATCAAATATTAAACTCTTATGAGTGGAGCATAATCATCTGATATTATAATGTTACTCGATAATGCTGCTACTCTATCTTTTAACGTCCGATAGACTAAACATAGCTAATACAAGTCTTACATTCTTTCTTAATTATTATATCATATCATCTGATGGTTAATGTTCCATTACTTTTTGTATGTCTAAAGCGTTAAAGTAAGGAATATTTTGCATTTGATATTCGCAATGAATTATCAGTGTTATACGAATAATTTACAAAAGAGCTTCATCCTTAGAATCCAGGATTAAAGTATAAGCCAAAAAGTACACGCCACAAATTGATATTGCTAGTGAAATCATCATGTAAGGTACTATGCTTTTCGCATGGATATAAATGAAATAGGAGGAAGAGAATTTGTTGCACAGGTTTACTTAAATTTATAAAGCTTACTGCACAAGCTAAATGTTGCATAGCGGTTATTTGCAATAGACCAAAAATAATACGAACGCCATTATCCTAAATTTATAAGTCATTTTAAATGTTAATTTAGGTTCGCAAGCAAATTATTAACTTTCCTGAAGAAATTCTCAATATATTGCAGTTTATTGAATTTGACAATTTTTACCTTAAAATTTTTAACTGTTTCATCGTAGGTATGCAGAATCCCTTGGGAAGAGCTGACTGTTACGTTATTCTTCTCCAGAAGTAAAATAAAGTTACTTGCAGACTATAGCACGATATTGATTTGGGTTAGATATAGCGTAGAAATAGCTACGTTGAAATTTGTTTCTGAAGCAAAGTTCGTAACCTTTCAGACTTTCTATAACTATATTTGTTCCATCTTGATGATTGTAGTCTGTAATTATGCAATTTATCTTAAGAGCAAATCTTTCAACTGAGTAGGTTTCCCGCCGTGATGACTTTCGAACTTAATGATTAGATTATAACTATACAGACACATTTCTATAACAGATCTTTCGACCCCTCTATCTGCACCTTCTATCACTAAATCTGTTCGATCTTGATGACTGTAATCTATTACTAGGCAATTTTGCCTCCAGAATAAATCCTTCAACTGTTAAAGCTTTCCTTGCTATGATGGATCAGAGCCATGATTAAGTTCAATAATTGCACAATCTTACTTCTGCATAGAAAATCTTTCAACTATTGTCTCTAATAGTTCTATTACTACAATTATTTGACCTTAATAACTGTAATTAGCAATGATAAGATATGTCTATCCTTATACTATATTTTCAATCGATATAATTATTCGATCCAAATGATTGTTATCTATTCGTAAATATGCGTAATTTAAGCTCTGAAGTAGATATTTTAAATGTCTAGACTTGCTTTCTTTCTATTGTAAAGGTAATTTCCCAATTCACGATCAGGATCTATAAGTATAGCATACTGTCTATCTTGTGAAATAAGTAAATAAATGATTGCATTAGTAGATTACCTACAGACGATATTTTCGATCGATGTTATTATCCGATCAGGATGATCGTTATCTGTATTTGCTTCGTTTTATCTCCGAAGTAGATATTTTGACTGTCTTGATTTACTGTCATTATATTAAAAAGATATTTTCCTGATTCTCGATCATGATCTATAAGTATAGCATACTGTCTACCTTGTAAAATAAGTAAATACATGATTATATTGGTTGATTACATTTATCCACGGACTAAATTTTCGATCAATGTCATTATTCGATCCAAAAATCAATTTTTATCTATATTTGTTTCATTTTATCGCGGCATTTGATATTTCAGCTGTCTAGCTTTATTACTATCATACTATAAAGACAACTGCTCAATTTACGATCATGATCTATATGTACAGTATACTGTAGTGTCGACCCTTGCAAAATATGTCAATATTGATAATTACCCATGCAATCGATCTATGAGCTTAATTTTTGATTATCAAAATCTGAAACAGATCTTGGTTTTCCTCTCTAATCTTAAAACACCAGCATCCTATTGACTTAAACTTAACTTACTGGAGAATATGATGTTGAAGCTTCATAAACAACGGCAACGTCGGTCCAATTAAAGTGCTTGATGATAGCAACGTAAGATTCCATGTATAAATCGTCCGATATTGAACTACGGTAGAAATATGGATATTTTTGGCGATCATTGAGCAAGACGGAAATGGCACTTGGAGATACCTAAAGAAGAGAAGGATAAAAAGAAAATAGATCATAAGCATATCGTATTTAATCGCTATCATAAGTATGCTATGAATTTCGCTGCTCAGCAGATGGAGTTATCAGTAAAATTTTGAAGAGAAATAATGAACTAAATGAAAATTAAACAGGCTAGACTTTGTAATTAAGTTTTCAATGTTTATTAACATCCTAAAGTAATTTTTTTAACAAGCGTAAATATAAATCAAACCGAACCTAAAACTCGCTGAGAGATAGAATGTTTTAATGACTGTTCATCAATTTGAGAAAAATTGATGAAGTACAACTTTACTCTATAACTCTTGAAGACAGGTATAATTAAGTTGATGTAACAATTGCCGTTGATTAAGATATTCATAAAACCCAAGTAGTCCTATGTCATGTTATCTAGATTAAGTAACTTAATTAAGTAGCTCTTGAAGTTAGCATAGAAGATCCAATACTAGTAGAGATATCTTATCTATCTTGATGATTATGATAACTGATATAATCATCGATTAAAATATATTGTTATTTATGTCTCATATAGAAAAGTAGATGATAATATGCGGCACATTAATGTCAGTTGAGCCTACTACGATGCTAATTTGAAAGCTATAGTTACTTATAAGGTGTTAGAAGATGTTTTTATCAGCTCTATATAATGTGAGATCTTTTTATAGTTGTTAGCTCTTATCCTCCATTACTATCGGACTCTCAATAAAACATAATAAATGCTATTACCAGCTGCTGGTATTTTGCTGGATTTAAATTTTATTATATCCTAGCTATAACTACTTAAAGCCAATTGATGAGAGTAGATATAATGATGATAGATTATATAGCATGACTACACTATCGTATTCACTCCTGATCGTAAATACGTCTAATGAGACGTGGTAATAAGGTATGAGATGAAATCAGTAGGCCTTATTTTAAGAGACTGTGTCTGATGTGAAGATAATAAAGGCCATACTTAATATATGTCACAATATATGTAATCATTAATTTAATTATGCTTTATGGCAACCAAAACCTTCGAATCATTGCAATATTATTAATGTTATCTAATTATTGTTAGCTACCATAGCAAGATTCCAGTTTTTTGCCGTTAATCCAACTGCTTCGGCTACGGAAGATATTATTGGTCCAATAACGCCATATATTTTAGTATTACCCATCAATACTCGAAGGTATTTATCCACTCCAATAGCAGGGTCAAACTGAAACAAATTATATGTAAACGTTACTTAGTTAGTAAGACAATTATTCTATTAGCTGCTTTAGAATATGCATGATATACTTTAAAGAAATGCGTTGAATTCAATGTCGAAAGAAACAAGCTCATCAATCTTACTATTAATACCAGGCAACATAAAAATATGCCTTACTCCAAGCTGTATTAATGTCAAGATGAAAGTACCCGATTACCAGCAATTATGTTGATATATATTAATTAACTTCTGTGAATCATAACTTTAAATACCAAATAATTATATTTCTGTTCCTACTAACAGTTAGTCATATAATTTTATGAGTTACTTTTTCGATTATAATTATCATTGACTATATCTTGAGTTTGTAAGAGCGTCATAAGACTTATTTGGGACATGCCAGAATTACTTGTGGTATCTAGTGAGCAAAGTTTAAACGTCGAGTGAAGCTTTTACACCAGCAGTAATTGTTGCAGCATATTTGATTATCATGTTGAAATAACGCAAGTAGATATTTGCTTAATTGAAAAATGTTGATACTCTCAATCAGTAACCATCTATAAGGCAAGAAAGGTTGAAAAGTAATCACGATTTTGTGCCGAGTTAAAATATATTTTAGCTAATAATACGTCTTGTTTTTCTAACTCATTTTACTAGATATCATACAACTTCTTATTTATTTTCTGTCTATTTGAACATTTGAGAGTCCTCTATAATTAGTCGTCCTATTGTAATAAATTCGATGCGAACGTATGCTTTCTTAACGTGAATGATGGTAAAAAATAGTTTAAGATAACATTATCGCGATGTTAAATGTGTTGATACGGATGGAACTGGCAAATCAATTGCAAAGGAATAAAATAGAAATGAAATGGCTTTCCCTCTCTATTTTGCGTAAACTAATATTTGCCTAGTCACTGTTGACAAGCAGAGTGAAAGCCAGACTACAAAAGCAATTTATATCCTGAAAAATTTCGATTTTAAAAGGGCTTTCTACTTCCTTATTTTTCGATATCATATTGGTAAAGGCGTTATAAATCACTCTACTCTGCCGTAGTTGTCAAAGTAAAGGTGAAAGTTCGTGATTTTAGAGGCAAATAAAAAATAATATGCTAAACTTATTGACAAGAATTGAGAGCGAAATAAATAGCAATTTAGCAACTCTCTAATAAACAATCACACTATCAATGGTGTCATCACATCACTTTATGATCCTAAATGGTTAGGAGTAAACTATAATAATAGATTAGCCAGAAAAATCTTCACTATTCTACATAAGATAGTAGAATGATTTCCTTTTAGATAAGCTTAAATAATTTACGATTGTTTAGACTACTAATATAATTTAATAATGAGCTAGCAAAGTAATATCTATCGCTTCTAATTTAACAAAAACCTTACTTTACTCCAACTGTATTTCTCGGAATTTGCTGTTAGCTACTGTACGTAATATATCAACGTAATGCTTCGATTGGATTTTATTATTAAATAAATTCAATTACTATACAAGCTAGATAGAAAGTTTTTCATTCAATAATATTGGTATGATGCAATTTGGTATAATTGTAATAGTTTAATTTTACCAATTGGCCTAATTAAAGGAAATATCTAGTCATATAGTTGGAAAATGTTCAGAAATCATGATTATAAATTTAGATGCCTTGAAGCAATCATTCTTCACATAATTGATAAGCAACATTTTACCGTAAATAAGAAAAGCTGGACTGAAAAAATGTATTGATGTAGTCTTTACCAACTGCGATATACTCTTTATATATCAGCTCAATTGATAATAACCAACTAAAGCAACTTTGAAATTATTCTAAAGTGGTTACTATAAATTTATACGTTATGCCTAATGTTAGCATATTTGTCAAAAATAGTCAAAACTTCAATAAGTATCGCTATTTCTGAGAAAAGCAAGACTGAACAAAATATATTGAACGTCAACGGTGGATATTCATTATGTAGACAGATTGCATTGTAAAAATTTCATGACAAGGTTACTCAGGTCAATTTCAAAAGATTTAAGCATAATCTACCACAAGAATAGTTTAGAATTGAACTGAAGATATAATCTTTTAAGTTTACATGCGAACATTAATCTTGAAAACGAATAAAATCTTATTAATTTTATGACAAAGTCTGTTAAGTAGTTAACTTTAACTACTTAATTAATATTAATTTTGCATGATGTAAGCCTGGCGAAATAAACGGATGCAATAACTAAATTTCTCAGCTATACAACGTTAAGTGCGTTCTGAGAAATAAAAAACTTACAAGTCCTAACTTTAAATCGTTCCGCTATTTATGAATATACAAAAATAAAAAGCAATTTTTATATAAAGTAAAATATGTATCGAAAGTTAAATTGAATGACTAGTCTACGATTTATTGCATTGTCATTACAGTAAGATATTCATTCTATCATCCAGTATTTTTCTTCCAGACTCGAGTGTCAACTCTTATCTAATGGACTTATAAAGATAGGAAAAATAAATATTTATTTTCGTTTGAATATCCGGAGAAAGTATAGGTAGCTTGACAAATATGTACAATATGGCCTAAGGCCATTTGTGCCTAGTTCTTTCGAGACCTCTGTTAAGTTTCTACAGTAGCTAGGACCAAGCAATAATTGTATCTAGTATGGCTAAGAAAATAAGTTGATATATAGATACTAACTAAAATAATCAATTAAAATATCCATTAATATGTATACTTATAATAGATTACTCTTTCACTTTATTACAAGTCTCTTTTATTAGCTACTGTTAGGCTCAAAACACTTCTCGACACGAATTTAAATTAATAAGTTTTGAAATCTTGTAAGTTGACTATTATAAATAATCTAGAAAACTACAGATATGCTTGTTACCGGATTTTTAGCACAGCATAGAGGACGTATAATTAATGTTTATAGATTAATAAAGTTATTTTTTCAACTTAAGCTTAAGTAAAGTAAATAATAAAATATTTCAACTACAACTTATTTGGCTATTTTAACCCCAATAGGACTAATAAATTCATTTTGCTAACAAAAACTCTAATTTATCACTTTTTAAACTATCGATTTTAGCTGAATGGCTAACTAATTTCCCCATTGATACATTATATTCTTTCGTAGCCGCAAAATATAAGTAGAAGATGACTAATTCTTATTACATATTCGACAGCAGCCATATAGAAAATCATCCTCGTATAAAATACAACCAGTATAATAGAGCTAGTAACCTATTTTATTTTCAGATCTACGCATACTTTACTCAAATCCACTTAAGTCTTACGGTAGAAATAGAAGAAAAGATCTTGTAATCAAGTGCATTAAGCGTCAAGATTAACTTAAGACCATGATAGCCTAATTATTTTTGAAAAGATTTTGACCCGTAATAGCCGTGTAAAAGATTCTCTTATTAGTTAAAAAGTTTTTTTCCCATCGTCAATCTTACCGCACCTTTCTCTCTTTTAATTTATTAACCTTTTAATAAACTATAAATCTAATGAAGCTCTGTAAGTGGCCGTATAACTTCTGAACTCACCCTTATTGGATCTATACTTATGATTAAATTGATTTTTACTGTATATAAGAGTGAAAATAAATCATTCATTGATGGAGTTATCATTTCTCCTTGTTAACATAGTAATGGAATGGAATTGACTTCAAAATTAAATTAGGCCGGTCGCTGTGGCATCTAACACAATTCGTTATTTCCTTCTACATACAACAGAACTACTAGTGATTAAAAAAATAAAATTAGTCAGGTAGCTGTGGTATCGATTTGTTGCTTCCTTCTATATACTAGAGTAGCACATAGAGCGATAATAATAGATCAAAAAATCTTTTCTATGGCGCAATTAGTGCCTCCTTCATTTCAATAAAATGCTAATTTCATAAGTAACCCTAGATTTATCAGCAACTTTAAGGTGTGGTATGACTATAGCCCTGGATGAAACAAAATAGCTGATTTCTAAGTCATATACTACAGACGGGGGTCATATCTGGCAGTACAGATTAAACATCTTTTAATTAACTATTCAATCATGGTTGGCGCCAGTATGTCTTTGAAAAAAGAAATAGAGCCTATGTTAAAATGGATGTTATTTCTCTTTAATAGAAGCCTTCATTGAGGAAAAAAACTGCTTTCTAACCTAGCTGATTTAATTGTCCATTTCCTTGTTATTTATTTTTAATCTATTAACAGAATTGTGTGCCATTTACATCATTACGAATAATGGTGTAGTCACCGTTGCCTACGCTTGGAATATTTTCAACGATTTGAGCAATAAATTTGTTACCAATGGTACCTAAATTCATTCTAATCTTGATTTACCCTTACATTAGCATCTACGAGTATTTGTATACTAAGCATCCCCTTTTTTTGCATCATTCTCAATACTCAACAATATTAATTTAAAATGTTTGCTCTCATTCATCAATGGGACTTGTTTGCTAAAGACATTATTAAACTCTAAAGATTTTATTATTACTGTTGGCCGATTGTCTCATGTTAGCCTAGTCTTGAATTGAAGGATATCCAATGTTGAATATTAGACATCTCCATGATTCAGATAGAATAGCTAGCAACTGATGATGGAATCTGGTCATCAAAATGATTCATTATGCAGACAGGAATCAATCTATTATTAGTAAAGCATTGACTCTGCGAAAAATTTTGACAGATCAAATAAAAAATATGGCCAATCTGTTTCAGTTTCTTAACTAGATACTTCTTTTGCCATTTTAATTAGTGCTTGTTGCGTCTTGTTTCTCCCTCATCTTAACTTCCTCCTGGTTTACTTCCGTAAAATAATTCGATTTTGATGGTGAAAAATGGCGTGAACCTGTCTATAAGTTGCTAATTTACAGGTCATAGACGACTAGTTAGAGAAAGAATGGCTAGTCAATCTACCGTAAATGGGCTATTTCTGTTTCGTTAGATAAATGGGCACACTACGATAAATTTATGTGT